CCTCCCAAATCTAGGAAGGGGCGCAGCTGGCGTATCAGCCAAAGCTGGTCGTAAGCATTCCTGACTGTCGCATCTATCTGGGCTGACATTTGGCAAGACGGATCCAGGAGCACTCCCAAGCTGCGAACACAATCTTTCAGGGGGAGTGTATTGTATTCGGCATGGTCAGGAATAGCAATCCTTTGCAGCACTATTGCCTACTCAACCCCTCGGCTGGCTTGACAGGATTGGGTAGTGCTTTTGTGATGTGGAGATAAAAGGTAAAGAGATTATTGTTGTGTATCATCCTAAATTACACTTTTCCCTTCCTATCTTATAGCTTGGGACTGGATGGGTAGGTGGGGATGCCCACCAATTTTTTCTCACTGCTGTTCCTAAACCTGTCCATCCATGCAATCACTGATTCTTCAACCTCCAATGAAATCCTCTGTCTGGTTGCTTACCCCTGTAGGTAGTCGCTGTCTGTTTTTGTGGACTAAAAATGGGACAAATACAGTTAAAGATGGCACGCACATATTAGAATTCCATAGTTGAGGATTTGTATATGTCCTTATCCAATTGGCCTCAGTCATCTTATTTTCTACAGAATTGGACATTCCAGTGTTAAGAATTTGACATCTTTCCAGACTGTGTGTAGTTTTCTTGAAAAAAAGAGAATGTTTCACAGCTGTACAAATAAAATTCTCTTTATGAGATATTCTCTAAGATGTTTACATCTTAGTGTGTTTTATTTTTATCATTCATATAGTAATTTAATATTGGCATCACTTCTGCATTTGTTTGTTTTTTGTCAGAACTGTTTGGGCATCTTATCAACTAGTAAAATACTAACAGCTGTTGTGGCAATCACTCCAATTTAAAAACAGACTATGACTTCATATTTGTTTTGTATTGTTTTCTTTTGTAGCAGACCTCTCTATTGAGCATGACATTATACACAATTATTTCCTAACTGCCATATTTTTCCTATTACTGTATTTCAAATATGCTTGCAGAATATTCAAGTAGTTTCTGCAACACCAAAACACATAGGCTTTCCCCCTAAATTAATATTTAATTGTAATATTTTTGATGGAAGGTTGTGAACACTATAGAAAATTACTTCTTTAAAGCTAAAGTCATATAAATGAGTTTGTTAATAAGCATTTTCATGATTGTAAATGAGTCATTTGCGCATATTGTGATTTTATTTTGGTATCATCTTTTGCCATTTTGCAATGTGGACTGCAAGTGTTTCTTTTAGATTTTTTAATTCCTTAGCTTTCTATTAGGATTCCAAATACTGGATTTAAAATGTCTTAAGCTGCGTTATCACAGTATGATACCTTGCACATGTGATTCGAAAGCTAAGATTTGCTTTCATGAGAGCCCGAGAATGGGTGAGTTTTTGGCACAGTTTGGAATCCTAGTCCACAGTTTCCTGCCAGCAGGCTAGGCATTGTCCATTGCTCTTTGTGTCACAGCCATTTGCTCAGTGTATGGAGGGCTCCTGCACTATTTGTGATGGAATGGCTTGCTCTTGCAGGTCCCCTTTTTATAACCAAAATGACGTCTTGTTCCATGTATTTTTCTAAATAGTGTCCTTAGGCCTCCATCTTCCACATGTGTGCAGCATAAAAGTGAGCAGATTGTTACTCCTTAAGGCAAAGCTGTTGGTGATATGTGACTATTTAGGCCATTTGTGACATCTGTCCCTCACATGATCTACAATATTCTAGCAATATTTTTGTGAGAACTATGTTAATGTGGGGTTGTGTGTGTGTGCGTGCATTGCACAGGCATTAGTCACAAAAGCTGTTTAGAATATATAGAATGATGAGATGGCTTTACCAATACTGTTTTAGTTTTGTCACTTTACCTATACTAAAGCTACTTTAATACAACATATTGGTGATAACACAGCATTAATCATCATTCTAGTGGTAGCCCCCAAGCTATCTGCTGCTGAACCCAAAATAGGTTTCTGGAAAGAAATAAACAATTGTAGTCAACAAGTTTGAATATTGACCCAGTATGTATTTGGAAAAGAGGGTTATTGGACCTACCATCAAACATCTTAACATGCACTGGAATTAGATGAGTAAGATTTTAGAACAGTGCTATACAAACTGTATGAGCTCTCTGGTGGTGCAGCGGGTTAAACCTCTGAGCTGCTGAACTTGCTGACCAAAAGGTCGGTGGTTCGAATCCAGGGAGCAGGGTGAGCTCCTGTTGTTAAACTCAGCTTCTGCCAACCTAGCAGTTTGAAAACATGCAAATGTGAGTAGACCAATAGGTACTGCTATGGGAGGAAGGTAACAGTGCTCCATGCAGTCATGCTGGCCACATGACCTTGGAGGTGTCTATGGACAAGGCCGGTTGTTCGGCTTAGAAATGGAGATGAGCACCAACCCCCAGGGTCAAACACGACTAGACTTCATGTCAGGGGAAACCTTTACCTTTACTATCCAAACTTCAGTTCTCCTGATGTTTTGGGCTTCACATCCCAGACTTCTTGACTTTGATCTAGCTGACTGGAGCTTCTGTGAATTGAAGTCCAAAACATCTGGAAGACTTAAGTTTGGGAACTACTAGTCTAGAAGATAAGCAGTATTTCTAAATCTAGGAATGTTGTCCCCAAATATTTAGGAACTGGGAAAGAAAGTACAAAATGAATGTTTTGATTTTAAAGTCTTTACCTCTCTACATGCAAAACATTGTATCATAACAACATGAAGTTAGGTCTGTTGATACCTAGATTGTTTCCCTTCCTTTAAGGAAGTAACACCACTCTGATTAGCCTGTAACCTCCCACAAAGCAACTTTTTTCACCTTTCTGTGCACCTCAAGGCAATGATTAACAAACAGAGCATGAGACTGGCTTTTTTAAGTGTTGATAAACATAATTTTATCCATTAGAAGGAGCAAAATCCACTTAATAAGAATAAGAATAAGCTTTATGTGTATGTGTATCCTGCCCCCTCTCCCCAAAGGGACTCAGGAGATTTATAGAGCAGTACCTCTTTTACACACTTTCCTGGGCAAATTCAGGTAGCAGGATTGGAAATTAGTGCCAACAGTGTTGGTGTTTGTGAGGTGTTACATTTATCTTCACTGAACCCTGCTTTTCCAAGCTTTGCAAATTATTTGCACTCCTTTCAACATAGTGCCCTTGATGGGCTCGCTCACTCCCAGTATGTTTATGAATGGTTTGGATATGAAAGTTTAAACACATAATGCAGTGCTTGTATCTTGGATTTTTACAACATATCCAGAGAAATGATACCTGTTGTTCTTGTGTGCCCTTTAAGTCGTTTCCCAGTTATGCCAACACTAAGGTGAACCTACCACAGGCTTTTCTTGGCAAGATTTGTTCAGATGAGATTTGCCTACCTTTGAGGCTAAGAGAGTGTGACTTGTCCAAGGTCCACTAGTGCGTTTCCATGGCAGAGTTGGAGATTCAGAAACTGGCCTCTAGTATCATAGTCCCATACTCAAATTAATCCTGTTGGTCACATTTTCATTCTTATTTTTTTCAAGATGTTTTTAAATAGGGTAAATGTCATTTAAAATATTTGCCTTGATTTTTTCAATTTTATATAAAATATCCACTGAATTCCAGTGTTTACTTTGAAGATGATCATTGATTTAATACAGACATGGGGAAACCTTTTTGCCTGGGGGCCACATAGTGGGCCTGACCAAGAGGGCTGGGCCAGGAGGGAGGGTGGCTGGGCATGCGCTGGATGGGACGGGCCCAAGGGCAAGGTCTGGGTCATCCTCATATTGTTCTGCTATAAGGATGGGACTGCTTGTCCCATCCTTAGGCCGGAAGGAAAATAAAACATGTGGCGACTGCCCCGATTCTCCTCCCCCGATCTTCGGGCTGTCTTCTTGGCATTATGCCAGGAGGAGGGTGAGACAGGCAACGGCTGAGAGAACTCTGGAGAGCTCTCAGCCACTGCGTGCCTACCTCGAGCCATCCTCTCGGCATAAGGATGGGGCCACTTGCACCATCCTTATGTCGGGAGGAGGGCAGGCTATATGGTGGCTGAGAGTGCTTCAGAAGGCTCTCAGCTTCTGCATCGCATCCTCCCCCATCCTTTCTGCATAAGGACATTGCGGGCCATCGTGTCCTTATGCTGACAGGACAGGGAAAATGAGGAGGGCCTGGTTTAACCTGAAGAGAAAGGGCAAGAGGGATTATATGTTCATAACAATGTACTGAATTTCTGTCAAGCTTCTTTTCTTGTCCTTTCTTGGAAATGCACAGACCATTCCTTATTCCATAGCTAGGATTTTCTTTACAGTGTATGGTATGGTGGCCTAGTTTGAGCATATCACAAAACCATAATTTTGTGTTAAGTTTGAAACACAGCAATGTGAAGCAAAGAACATTATAGCCTAAATCCAATTACTAGCTCCTAGATTTGAACCAGGGACTCTAGTTCACAGTTCTAATTCTTAACTGCTATGCTACTATATAATTTAATAAAATTATTCAAATGTTGAAGCATCTAGAAAGACAAGTGTTATCTTAAGTTTTATATTTGTGTCCTCATTAAACCTGTGTACATAAAAGAGCTTTTTTTTACAAGGGCACAGAAACAGCAGCCCTAGCTTGGTTCGGTTACTCATTCTGAACAGAGGTGTGCCTATTTATTGTCTTCTGCTATTTTAGGACCAGCTCCAAATCTCTCTTGCAATTTATTACAGAAATTTCTCTGTGGACCATGAATCGGACATAGCATACATTCTCAGCATTTGCTTACTTTGTCTGGCTCTAACATTAACTGTTCAGCTACCTTAACAAAATTTATTTCTACTTAGGTATGAGTTTTATGAAACAGCCTATAGGCAGTAATGACACTGATATAAAAGAAGTTTAGCTAACAGCTTTATATTAATTGCATTGTTTGTAAAAATCAAATTAGTGTGTTTTAAATTAATTAAAATTAATAAAATTACAGTACCTAATCATTGTTCTAAAAAAAACGTTTGTATCTTGTGTCACTGTATAGACAGGGATGGTGCGTTGTGATACAGCCGTTGGAACACCAGACTACATATCACCCGAAGTATTGAGGTCACAAGGTGGTGATGGTTATTATGGAAGGGAATGTGACTGGTGGTCTGTAGGAGTCTTTCTGTTTGAGATGCTAGTTGGTAAGTAGTTAATTCCTCGTGTTCTCTCTGTTGAATCTCAAAAGGTTATGCCTTGCTCCCAATATGCTAGATAGATTACTGATGTCCTGAGAGGATAGGAATTATTTTGGTCCCTAAATTCCCTTGGTTCTAGCTATACTTTTTACACCAGAGACTGGGTTCTTATATTATGAGGTGGAGCTGCCTAAGAAGGCAAGGAGAATTTAATGGAAAGTATGAACTACTCTGTTCCAAACTCTCTTCTTCTGTAACTGTTTATAAGTTACTGAAATAATGTGGTCAAATATCATTACTCACATCCTTTGCAGCAATGCAATCTCCTTCATAGCAAGCCCTTTGCTTCATATGTTTATATATTTCTAATTTTTTAAACTGTGAAAAATCCAACAATTTAGTTGGGCAAGTGACTCATGTTTTCCCAAGTAAGAAAACTGAGGTACACCTTGCCTCAAGAGATAATCACCTAATTAATAGGATCATGTATGTTTTGGATATGTGAAGCATCCACACTCTAGGCATGTGGAATGTATTTCTCATTCTTTAATTACAGATGGAGTGTCTCTTATCTAAAATATTTGGGAAGCCCGTTGGGGAAGTCGATTAAGTGCAGGACAGAGTGCTACCTGGCTATCTAGGGACTGGACCTAGGGCTAGGGACTAATCATTCTCAAAAATTTGCTGGAACATCCAGGTTTTCAGATCACTACAAAAGGAGGACAGTGTGGAGCCTTGCCTAATCTCCCTGGGGAGGGTATTTCAAAGCGGGGAGGGGGGCGAGAAGGCCTCTTCCTTGCTACCACCAATTGTGCTTGTGATGCTGGTGGAAGTGAGAGAAGAGCCTCCTTGGCAGATCTTTGAGCCCCCCCCCCCCCCAGTTCATAGGGGAGATGCAATCCTGAAGATAGGCAGGGCCCAAAGTGTTTAGGGCTTTGTAGGTCATAACCTGCACCTTGAATTGAGACCAGAAATTTAGCGGCAGCCAGTTGAACTACTTTAATAGGAGTGTCATATTAGATGTGCCCTTGCAAAATATGGATTTCTTTATTCTTGTAAGCCACTACTCTATTTAAAATGTGGAAGATTTCCAAGCTATGTAAAGCAGGTCTTGAGGACTCTGACTGGCCTGATGCAGTTGGGGGTTATCCCTCTTCGATTTCTGCAGAAGGTAGCAGTTCTTTCAGTCCTACCCATAATTGAGGCTGAACATAGCACTAAATTGTGGTTTTGTGTTACATTCATTAAGTTTTATATGCCTTGGGCTCGCTTGTGAGTCCCCCCTTTCTATTCCTCTCGTTGCAATATCAAAATGGACATTGGAAGTATTCAGTTGAGTATTCAAAGTGTCTGATTAACTATATAACCTGCTCTAGATCAAGAATTCCCAGATTGGAAACTCTTAAGGAACCTACTTTAAAAAAGTTGAAATAAACACTTTAAAGCTGTTACATTTCAAACTAATAAAAAAACCAACAGTCTGAAAACTTAGAGTCAGAGCCATGATGGGTGCCAAATGTCTGAGGGTATGGCCACATTTTAATTTGGCCTTGGCACAAAGGCCATGTCAATGGTAGTTGAACCTAAGTGAAGGTCATCTCATTACTCAATTCCTAAAGTTGAAGATATCCTTTTCTGTGTGTCCATGTGTGGTGGGACATCAAACAGATTCCTACCATAGATCAGTGGGTGTGTTGAGATGCACTCAGATATCTAGGTCCCAAGATAGTTAGAACTTTGAAAGTCATGATCAGTCCCAGAACCTAGACTGAATTCCTCCTTGCATCTGAATTCAGGGGGGGGGGGGGGGAATGAAAACCACAATTGTTGCGGTACGACTTGATCCTGGCTTGTTTCAACTAATAGTTAAAATATAGGACTATGTAATTTAGAAATTTTTGCTCCTGTTTTTGATCTGTTGCTTATTCCTTACATAAGAAGAGAGAAGTGAGTGAAATGTTGAAGCGAGTTCCTTCTTTTAGGAAGTCTAACCATCATGTAGTGTTAAGTCAGAAAACCCCCATTAGCTTTTTGGACAAGGTTCACAGAGCTGTTCTTCTGCCCAGCTTCTGTCAAGCTGTCAAAGGGGTTGCTGCTGCTTACTGGAGGGAAAGAGAAGAAGAAGGGAGGCAATTCAGATCATTAAGATCTTGGTGCGCTAAGGTCTTGGAAGAAGGAAAAGATAGATCACCTCAATTTGAAAGCATGGTCTCTTTTCTTCCCCTGACTAAAATGAGACCAGCAGTTTCTCTGTGGTCTGAATTGCTTCTCCCTTCCACCCTGTAAGCAATAACACAGGTGGAGATACATGTACTAATTAGCATAGTTGCCCCTGGGGCCAGCCTGGAGTATTGCCAATCTGGAGCAACCCCACATTATGTGACCCATGTAAAAGTAAGATCTCAGCCATTGTATGTATTCTAGACCTATGTACATAGGGTACTTGATTTATCGTCTCAAATTATGTTTGATTATCTGATTTCCCCTTTTGTAATAAAAAGACTGTAGTTAATGCTTGTGCATCTTCAATTTAATTTCAGGAGATACTCCGTTTTATGCTGATTCATTGGTTGGAACCTACAGTAAAATAATGGATCACAAAAATTCATTGCACTTCCCAGAAGATGTGGAAATCTCAAAACATGCAAAGGATCTTATCTGTGCCTTTTTAACTGACAGGCATGTAACATGGATTTTTCTTTCTCAATAAACTGGACTTTTTGCCTCAAGCTCTCTTGCCAGAATATGTTTTCAAGATAACTTTGTATACAAAACAGTGAGTGTGATAGATGAGTTTCCATGTGTAAGAAACATGAGATGCACATTTACAACATAGTTAACAGTGTTGGCAATGTTTATCAAATGCTGCATGCTTAGCAAATAATTAGGGTTACAATTCACATGGTCATTTCAGCAAGTCTTCATATCGTCAGTAAGTATTCAAGGCACATTCATAAGAACAATCTTGAGTAGGAGGTGACCAGTAATAATTGGGAGGAGAAAAAAGGTGGAGAACTCCAGTTTTGCTCTGTTGACTGCTACTTTTGTCTACTTTTTACAGAGAAGATGGGAATGTTATGTGGAGGAATGGCCCTGGAAGGAGGGTGGTGTTTTTGTTTTTCTGATATTTACTTTCTCAGTCAGCTGGCCTCCAGCACAATCCAGAGCTTTGCCTGGTCTTGCTTTGGGAAGGGTTGAGATGGTAGAGATGGATTTGGGATAGAGGGCAGTCCTATTTTCTGGACCTATTTAGAAAGCTTGGCTAATGAGTGGCTAAGAGGGATGATCTGTTTCTATTCATCACTTCCTGGATGTTGATCAGATTTACTGAAATGCAGTTAGCTCGAAAGTGCTATCTATCTATTAAATTAAAAGAAGTTGGGGAAAAACCCATAATTCTAAGAAGGCATTACTTTTCAAATATCCAAAGAGACCTATTTTTTCCTGTCATTTGATTTTTTTAAAAATTGAAATGTTTATGCAATGAATTGAATTGAGATCTCAGATTACGTGCAGAAAGTACAAACAATTAAAAGCAATATAGCAGAACTTTACAATGTAGTAAATGATCCCTGAAACTTAAGCAAAAAGCCACATGTTTACTCTTGTGTCAAAATATGGTGGTTTTACCAGTTCTTTCTTTTGCAGTGTAGCCTACAGCATGTAGTATTCATTGGTTGTTTCCCATCCAAGTACTAACCAGGTCTGACCCCTGGTTAACAGACAGGATATAGTGCCTTAGCAAAGGGTAAAACTGGGCTCAGATAGTCTGTTACATGGGGTGTAATTTGAATCTCGAGTGACAGAGGTGGATTCAGAAGTACTCAAAAGCTGTGCACTTGCCCCTTCTGGTGTGGGTGCCCCATCCAGGGCAGGTTTCTCCCCTACTTTTTTAGACTAGGAACCACAATCTGTAAAATCTTTGTCTAATCAGGATTCATTTTAGGCTTATTGGCCTTCATTACAACCATTATAATATCAGCACGTTTAGAGCTTCACCTAACTGTGATGACAAGGAGAAAGAGAGTTATGGGTCATCAGCCTACTGATGATACCAACTTTTGTTTTGTGATGATCTCACCCACTGGTTCCATATATGATAAACTGCATGGGGGATATATTGGAGTCTTGTGGTTTGAAAAAGAATGTCCTAGTGCCTCACTGTAATAGACCCTAAAGGAGAGTATGGAACCACTGTGGCCACAACTGTGTGTCTTCTACTCCCAATCTATATGATAATGAAAAACTGTGGAGAGATCTTGGGGTATGAGCAAGGCAGTTCTATCATTCTTCCAAATAGTTCATAATGTGAAAAGGCATCCAGCTAGCAAATGGCCAAGCACCTTGCCCAGAAGGGGAGGATTTGCAAGGGAGAAGTAGATCTCACTTGTGTCTTGGTTCAAGGAGGTTTCATCAGCTGAAGATGGTACAGAAGCCATTCAAATTTCTAAACGCAAACAGCCTGTAGATGGGCTAACATAGGCTGTGGGTTGTAGGTCTTCTGTTCCTCTCTGCCATGACAAAGGCCCTTTACTGAGAGTAGCGTGACATTTGTTTTTAATGCATGTTTGCAATGCAAGGCACCTCTAGAAGCTTTTGTAGTTTTGCTTAGGACAGGGCACAGAGATCACCATCCCCACAACATATCCTCCAATGCCAAACCAGGCATTTCTACTGTAGTATGTGTGTTTGATTTTGGGGCTGATGCCATCCATGAATGATCCTGCAGGAAGAAAATTACTCCCTAGACTGTGGCTTGACTGCAACCAAAGCAACTCATTTCCTACTGTGTTGTCCTTGACCATTCTGGGCAATCATTTCAGTTAAAATGTCCCCACAGAATAACTACATTATTTGTTTAATATTGGGGAATATGAAAAAAACTAAAAATTAACATTAAATATCTTCCTACAAATTTGAGCCAATGTAACTGAGGTGATGTTGTCTGCCAAGCAACTATGCAAGCAGCTCAAGAAAAGGCATTTTTTAAGAATTGCCATCACTTTTGTCACTTCTTGCCCCTTTGACTAAGTTCAAGTGTAGCATTAACTTTTGTCCAAGTTCAAGGGTGAAGGAGTGGCAACGGAGATGAACAAGGATGCAGGAGATAGGTTCCATAACTACATAACTTGGTCATAGTGACTTACACATTTTTGAACTCAGAGTCACCGGCTGGGGTCATTTTGCCTGTGTCTAGCTCAGTCGAGCAAGGATTTTCCATCCCTTTACTCCACCATTAGAAGCACAGCTAGGCTACTCCCACCTGTCTTGCCCCAAAAAAGGACCTCCATTGCTTTACTCCAGGCATGGATAGACTGTACGGCTTCTCAGCCAAGCATGGAGCCTCTGTCCTTTTACTCCATTGAGAGGGATGTGGCTGACTGGCATGTCTTAGCAGAGTAAAGGGACAGCTGCCTCTGGCTCCGCTGAGCCAGGCACAGGAAGCCTGGCTATGCCTGCTCAGTGGAATGAAGGAATGAAAGCCTTTTCCTTGGTTGAGACTGTGGAGTAAATGGATTGAAAAGGTGAGGAAGGACCTCAGCTGGTCATGGTAAGCCAGACTGTAGGTATCAGCCCTTGGGATATGGACACCAGAATGCACTTTTTATTTCTGCTCCCTTTTCACTTATTGCATATATCTTACTATTTATATTAATTGTCTTGTTAAGTAAATTTATTTAAAACATGCCGCTTTAAAACATATACAATTGTGACTGAAAACACTTGAAGTGGAAAGGAGTGAGTTATTTGTCTTGAGATATGCTACCTCTCCCACACAAGTGCGTTCTTGTGTGAGATTTTAGCAACACGCCCAAGAAGTTGTTTTGAAAAGAAATGAGTGTGTCGCATTCATAGTTGTTCCATTGTACATTTTTATGAGAAAGTGTGCATATGTATGCATATATGGGTGTTTTTAGAGGCAAATGATACCATTTTTGAAATACTTACTTTAGGAGAGTTCGAACAACTCCTCTATGTTTGGAAGCCAGGTCTTTGGTCACTTATATCCAGATGTTTGCATTGCGGTTTGGCAAACTGTAGGTTCACATTTTTTTAAAAGAACATTTTTCCTCTGCATTCCTTTCCTGCATAACCCAATTGGAAATATGTTTTACTCCACACGTGGCAGACTGAGACTTCCAGCTACTTCATTTTCTGTATATGAATGCTCTGAGAAACGTAACAATGTATGCAACAGGGGGATTCAAACTAAATTTTAATGAAAAAGCACAACTATATCATATTTATTCAGTGTATAGGCATGCTCAGCACTCACATAGAACATAGAAATGCATTAATTGAAAATGGAAAACTATTGATTGCAGTATATAATTTGATTTAATTGCTTTGTTTAGGGAGGTGCGTCTCGGAAGGAATGGAGTAGAAGAAATTAAATCGCATCTGTTCTTTAAAAATGATCAATGGGATTGGGGTAACATTCGAGACAGTAAGTACTTTTTAAAAATGTACTAATTGAAGTTTTGTTTAAGTTTGCATGAATTTTACACGTTCGAGGGCTGTTTAAAAATCCAGATAGAAACATGATTGTGTTACTGTATATTTGTTTAATGGTCTATTCTAGCTGAGTTAACAGTTTATGAATCTGCTGTACACATTCCCTACTGAGCAGATTGGGTCTTTGGGCCATAATAAAGATTGCTTGATTGGTAGCTGAGTTATAGATCAGGGAAGCCACTAAAATAATCAGGCTTATGTATTCTGTCATGACTGTCTTAGTACTTGTAATCATTGGTTGTAGTTAATGTGTTTGTTTATACAGAGACCAATGTGATATACTTAAAGATCTCATTTGTGCACAGTGTGTCTGCCTCTTTAGAGGCAGACACATGTTTGCGTTGCTTTGGGGTAAACATATGTTGCTTTGGGGCAGATCTGTGATCATTCTCAAGCTCTTGGCATAATACTACTAGATGATTTGGATTGAGGGGACTTAGTGGCAATAATTCATGGTTGCAAAAACCCTAACCCTTAACCAAATAATTGTTTGTAGTCCCTGGAATGTGCTGAGACATCAGAAATTAGAAAATTTCAATGACAATATGTTGTCGAAGGCTTTCATGGCTGGAATCACTGGGTTGCTGTGAGTTTTCCGGGCTGTATGGCCATATTCCATAAGCATTCTCTCCGGACGCTTCTTCCACATCTATGGCAGGCATCCTCAGTGGTTGTAAGGTCTGCTGGAAACTTGGCAAGTGGGGTTTATATATCTGTGGAATGTCCAGAGTGGGAGAAATAACTCTTGTCTGCTTGAGGCAAGTGTGAATTCAGCACCTTGATTAGCATTAAAAAGCCTTGCAGCTTCAAGGCCTGGCTGCTTCCTGCCTGGGGGAATTCTTTGTTAGGAGGTGATTAGATGGCTCTGATTGTTTCTTGTCTGGATTTCCCCTCTTTTCTAAGTGCTGCTCTTTATTTACTGTCCTGATTCTAGAGGTTTTTTTAAATAATGGGAGCCAGATTTTGTTTATTTTCATGGTTTCCTCCTTTTTGTTGAAATTGTTCATGTGCTTGTGGATTTCAGTGTCTTCTCTGTGTAGTCTGACATGGTGGTTGTTAGAGTGGTCCAGTATTTCTGTGTTCTCAAAAAATATGCTGTGTCCAGGTTGGTTCATCAGGTGCTCTCCTATGGCTGACTTCTATGGTTGAATGAGTCTGCAGTGCCTTTCATGTTCTTTGATTCGTGTTTGGGCGTTGCATTTTGTGGTCCCTATGTAGACTCGTCCACAGCTGCATGGTATATGGTAGACTCCTGCAGTGGTGAGAGGATCCCTCTTGTCATTTTCTGAACATAGCATTTGTTGGATTTTCTTAATAGGTCTGTAGATAGTTTGTAGGTTGTGTTTTTTCATCATCTTCCCTATGTGATCAGTTGTTCCCTTAATGGACAATTTTAACAATTGTAGGGAATAGCAGATTGTTACACTATAGCTGAGCCCTTAAAGAAGAGGCTGACAAAGCCACCTGCTGCTTCCTTTTTGTGAATAGAATAGTATACTCTAGATCAGCCTGAAATCACCCATGTGCTTTGAGGTGGTTGGACAAAACGCCTACCATGTCAGGTTTATTTACCCAAATGCTTATTCTTAAGCTCCAGCATGAATGCATTGGTTTGACAGAGGCCTTCAGAACAGTTTGAGTTCTGCTTTCATTTGCTGAAAACATTTATGCCGATTGGCGTAAATCAGGATAAAGGATTGGTTGTTCCAAAGCCTATTTAGTCATTGATTTGGCAAGAGAAATATGAACATAATTGTTCAGATTATTATTTTGGAGCTGTTTCAGTCCTTCCCAGCAGGTAGTACAAGAGTTGTGCATGCATCCATCCTAGTTTGCCTTTTTGAATTAAGCCCCCTCACATGAATCCTAAGAAATGTGAGCAGGAGGAAGCTTGCAGAAGAAAACTCCTATTTGCGACCTTCTAGATGTCTTGAACACCCTCTTCAGTTTTTTATTTGTTCAGATTGCTTTTACCCAAAGTTAAGCTGTTCCTGCTTCCCACGAGTTCCTCCCCAACCATGTTCTTCAGAAGCATATGCCTTCTCTCTCAATACATGTTTTGGGATGTGGAAAAACAGTCTCATTTCACTTGCAATTCTTGGGATCTAAGCTCCTCTTTTGCAAGACCTCTGAATAAGGAGGACCCTGGCATGCTGCAGGACATAGCAAGCACCTTACACAGAGCATTTATTTTTTTCAAGGCAAAAGAGAAGATGGTGTAAAAGTTTATGGGAAGTGCATATTGTTCTAATACAGTTTTCTGTCTTTCCATTCTAGCTGCAGCACCAGTTGTCCCTGAGCTGAGTAGTGACATAGATAGCAGCCATTTTGAAGACATTGAAGATGATAAAGGAGACGTCGAAACTTTTCCCGTCCCTAAAGCCTTTGTTGGAAACCAGTTGCCTTTCATAGGATTTACTTACTTTAGAGACAACCTGTATGTGAGATACCAGTAAAAATGTTCATAATAATAATAACACTTGCTTCTATCGTCAGAATTGTGTCAGAAATATTATTTTAGTAGTTTTGATTGTACTTTGAAGTTTCCATGCTATTTCCATTGCACAAGGCAACAAAATAGACTTTTTGTAATAATCAGAAATGAGAGTAGCACAGTTTAAATCAATTTTTCATGGTAATTTTAAATATGTCTTTATTTTTTCCCATCACATAAACTTTTAAAATATGACAAATTGTACATTGTAGCGGACTACTGTAAAATGTACACATTTCACATCATATTCGTGTAACACAAGCCAACAAGTATTTTTCATCAGATATGATTTTAGGTTACTCTTACAGAGTTTTTTGCGCTGAATTCATATCTGTTTTTATTTTTTTCTATCATGTGTAGTTTTTGTGATGAGTAATCAAATGATTAATGAATTTACGCACTGATATCGATAGAATCTAAATGATAGAGAAAAAATAAACAGATCTGAATTCAGCACAAAAAAACTCTTTAAGAATGACCTAAAATTATATCTGATGAAAATAACTTTTTGGCTTGTGTTATTTTTGAGAGTGAGGGGTAGAGAAGAATGCAGACAGAATAGGCAGTGTCAGACATTTTTACTTTCATAGTAAACTGTATTTTGAACCTATATGTAAATGTATTAAAATACTTGAAGAAATGTGTCCAGCATAGGGTTTTTTTTTACATTCATCATTTTTTGTGAGTTGGAGAAAGGGCCTGCCTCTTTTCCCTATAACCGAAAGGTCTTTGGGTCAGTTACAATGAACAGAAAGAGAACTAGTCCTGAACAAAACTGCCTTCATTCTGAGAGGAGCCTAGTGGGGATTAAGACTTGAGAGAATTGATTAAAATGAGTTGATTGGCATAGTTGCTGGAGTTTTTGAGAACTTGAGTTGTTTTCAACAGGTTGCTAAGTGACTTTTCTGAGGTCTCTAGAGAAGCCGAACCCTGCAAAAACAATGGAGCAAGGAAAAATGAACTAAGGAAAAATGAGGCAAGTACTCTCTGTTTAATAAGTGCTAAATAAATACACATAAGGAATTTGTTATGCATAGTGGGTTTTTGGACTGAGACATATATGATAGTTTTCAATAGTTAGAATTAACTGAATAAATCAGGAACAACTTGTGAATAGTCCCGTTATAGTGACTGGAGCTGTTGGTCACTATATGGTTATTGTGTTAGAAAGACCAGTGGTTCTTAGAAGAATTTGAAATAACAGTCTTAAATCTAAAACACTGAGATAGTCAGTCTACTAGGACATTTGGAGAATATAGCTGGGAAGACTTGTTTAAATTAACTGCACTTACCTGATTTTTTGGGTTTTTTTACAGGACAACGAAGAGGTAAGCACATGATTTTAAACTATGGATTGCATTTTTAATGGAATGACATTTAAAGAATCCATTTTAGTAGCTAAATACTAGTCGTCTTAAATATGGCCATCAAATTTTAAAATAAACAGTATCTAGAAGAGGATTTAATGTGACACTGGGGTAAAGTACTAGAGAAAATGTTTATCTAACTTTTGTGATTTGCAAGTGATTTTTATGCATACACGTTTTGAAAAGTGGTAAAAAGTATATCATTTTGATATACTTATCATCCAGACCAAAAATTTTGTAGCATCCCTAATTTGTAGACTACTAGTCTACAAAATAGTATGGAGACTATTGAAGAAGGTTTTACAGTATTTAGCAAATTTTCAGTAGTATATTAGTTGAATTTTTCTCAGTTAAAATACAGAACTTGAATGTGCCTCTGAAAATCATATTGTATAAAATAATATGTTGTTTCATTTTAAAACATTTCACTGTGGGCCATATAACATGCATTTAGATTTGCAAATACGCGTGCAGTAAATTATTAAAAGAGAGCCAGTTTGGTGCAGTGATTTGAGTTTTCTTCTCTGAATCTAGAGACTAGGATTCAAATTCCTTTTTGGCTGTGAAAATGCACTGAGTGACAGTCAGCAAGACACACTTTCTACATTTCAGAAGGAGGCAAACACAATACCTGTCTCAACAAATTTTGACATGAAAACCTTGTGATAGGTTTACCTTAGAGCCATCATAATCTTGGAAATGACTTTAAGACACACAACAATGGCAAAATTATCAATGGAACTTAAAGCATATGAGTATTTGCAACTTCTAAAAATGTTTCAGTTGTGCAAAATTACTAGAGCTTCAGGCATAAATGGTTCCAAGTTTTCTGTCTTGTTTTGTCTCATATATTTCATAAATAAGCAATCTACATGTGAAATGTTACCATGCATCACCCTAGATTGTTCCATGGACTACTAGCTGCGGTATCAAAGGGCCCTTCCACACAGCCATATAACCCAGAATATCAAGACAGAAAATACCACAATATCTGCTTTGAACTGGGTTATCCACGCTGCCTTATATTCCAGTTCATAACAGAAAATGTGAGATTTTATCCACCTGTGTGGAAAGGACCTTAGAAAACACATGAAGTATTCACAACTAAATATAACTTTCAGCTGTATCTGCAGTAAGATATGATGTAGAAATAATTTTTGGCTCTAATTGATTGATAGATTTATTCATCTAAACTAACATTTCCCATTGGGCTCATTTTGAAAAATAGGTTGAACTGGGTTTTTTTCTCTTCTATTAGTTTGCACAGTTTCAGGAAAAAATAAACAAATTAGAAGATCAGCTTCATAATGAAGTACAGACCAAAGAGGAGCTCGAGCAAAAATGCAGGTAGAATTTTATTTCCTTTCTGCTTGAAAGACTACTCTAGCAAAAAATATATAACGTGGCATCAAATGCACAACAATGTCTATCTCATGATTCCTAGTATTTCTTGGGTTTAATACACTTCCTGGGAAAAGGCTTCCCACATGGCTCATGGGAATATAATTCTTGTCCATCTCATACCTGCTCAAGCCATTTGGTTGGTTCTTCCTTCCACATCAACAACCACAAATGTCTCTATTTTGGATTAACTTATCTGTTTTGCTTCTTATTAAATTTAGCAGAAGAAACTAATTTTCAATGAATTATGTTCCAAATATATTTTTTCTTTTTCCGGTTCTTGCTATTTTCCTTTTTTTAAAAGTCTGCCTATGCATTTATGAGTAGAAGAATATTAGAAATAAGGTCCTTATGTTCTTATCCACCCCCTCACCACTTAGCTTAGGTCAGTTTTTTTGGCAACTTTTCTGTCCAATACCTTTGAAACTCATAAGAAATAGCGGGGTTTGTCTTTCTTTTTATATAACGTAGGATCTCCTAATAAGCTTTATGCATGGATTGTTCTTGTTGTTCAGATGATTTTCCAGAATAGAGAAAAGTGACTTATTTTTGTGCATTATTCTATAATTTTCCTATAATGTTGATTTTGCTACTTCCCCAGAACTATTAATAATCGCCTAGAGAAGATAATAAAGGAGTTGGATGAAGAGGTAAACCATTATCTGTTTTCAGCATTTCTTCAGTCTCTTCCTCATTGAAAAAATATTCAGCTAGAGTATATTGATGAAAGAGTAGCAAACTTTTATATACTGTGTAATCAATGTTGGCCTATCTCACAAGTGAATTTTGAGAGGGGAAAAATAGTAGGGTTATGCAGTAATGACAAGATTCAGTCCATTTTGGCTTAGACGGTTTCTTGTTTTGGAAGTTTGAGGTTACATTCTTCCCCGTTGAATTTGATAGGAAATTGATAAATGGGTATAGCCAATTTGACAGGATAGTGTGACATTTACAAACACGATAGTCTTATCTGAGTGTATGAAGTTTTTGAGATTTAGACTTAGGGGATGCATAGGAAATATATTGGAATTTGGACAAAAGATCTGATTTGGGGGCACATTATATCGCTTTAAATCAGGCATTCCCAAACTGTGGCTCTCCAGCTGTTTGGAGCTCCAACTCCCAGAAGCTCTAGCCAGCTTCTTCTGTAGTCAGGAATTCTGGGAGTTGGAGGCCCAAATAGCTGGAGGGCCACAGTTTGAGGATGCCTACAAATCATCTGTGTAGATTTGGGAGTACTCAATCTAGTTTCAAGCTAGGGTGCAGCTATTCTTTAAAATTAATTCAGCTTGACCACTTAAACTGGCATGAATGAATGCAATGGGCTCCTGTGAGTTGTAGTTTTACAAGGACTCCATCCTTCTCTGCCAAAGAGTGCACAAAACTTCCAATCCCAGGGCTCCATAGTATTGAACCATGGCAGGTAAAGCAGAATCATTTTGTCAATTCTTAAAAGTAGAGCCAGCCAGAGTGATTTGCTGACGTTTTTACTTTCTGCACAAACCCTAAATCTAGCTATTTGTGATTCATTCATGGTCCAATGAGCTTACCTGATGAATCAGATTTATGGAAGAAGGGTATGAGAAAGATTTATAGCTCACCCTTTTTGTATTGACTTTCACGCAGCTGAAGAATATTGTACATTTTGTCTTCACACCAATGCTCTGAAATGGCATGTTTTTTGTTTGTTTTTTTGCAATTCTCATAAATAGAATTGTGTGACTACTTTGCTGTTTTGAAATTCAGTGGTTGTCTGCAAATTTGCATGAGCACATTTGTCGAGCGTTATGTAGCATATTTACTGTAAACAGATGAGAAACACTTTTTGCTAACTTGGTGCATTAATTCAATTTGTTGTAACTTTAGGAAGATGTCCTCAGACTTCAGACATTTTCCTTTAAAAGAAATATGTCTTCTGTTCTTCAATGTATATGTCTAGGCAACCTCAAGAAAAAATCTAGAATCTGCCTTAAGACAGTTGGAAAGGGAGAAAGCTCTTCTTCAGCACAAAAATGCAGAATACCAGCGGAAAGCAGAACATGAAGCAGATAAAAAGCGCAATCTGGAAAATGATGGTATACGGACAAAAATTATATATCAGTTTCTTTACAAGGGTGGTGGTAGGGAGAAGAGGAGGCACAAAAATTTTTCCTTGTTGCTTGACCTTTTTAGAAATCTATGAGTCTGCATTGATTTGTTGTTTCTATTACAGTTAATAGTTTGAAGGACCAGCTAGAAGATTTGAAAAAGAGAAATCACAACTCTCAAATATCAAATGAAAAAATCATTCAGCTACAAAGACAGGCAAGCCATCTGTTTGTTTTTCTGAGGAATAATTTAGTATCCCCGTTAGAGAAAAATTGTGGTGACAGGCTTTGCTGCAGTAATGCACCTTGGGCACACTTTAAAGTTTTTCTTCTTTTGTTGATGTGTATCTGTTGGTATTTTTTTTCATGGTTCAATAGCTGGATGAAGCCAATGCTTTGCTGCGCACAGAGTCTGATACAGCAGCCAGGCTGAGGAAGAACCAAACAGAAAGTGCAAAGCAGATCCAGCAGCTGGAAACTAATAACCGAGATCTGCAAGATAAAAACTGTGCCCTGGAGAATACTAAGCTTAGGCTTGAGAAGGACTTCCTCAATCTGCAATCAGTTCTTGAATCTGAAAGAAGAGATCGGAGTCACGGGTCAGAGATTATCAGTGATCTACAAGGTATGACAGCTGGGACCTTAAATAGGAAATGATGCATGGCTGCCTTTTTAGAATTGGGACTTGACTAGGCTTCCTATCATAATATTTATAATTGTGTAATTGGTCCCAAAGTTCTATCTGATATTGTTGCTAGGTTATTTGAACTCCTTTAAAATACTTGGAAAATACATACTTTCTTTTAAAAAAAGTATTCACAAAATGCTGTACTTTAATACCCTGTGTTTTAAACAGTCTTTTTTCTGTTTGCATTATTCATCTTTTCCTTAGGTCGCATATCTAGCTTAGAAGAAGAAGTAAAAAATGGGAAGATTGCATTAACTAAAATGGAGACAGAGAAAAGGCAATTACAGGACAGGTTCACAGATCTGGAAAAGGTATGCACCAGTGTTCACGGCTTGAAAACATATTAATTTGCTCTGATAGCAGTAATACATAGTAGAGTTGGGCCCGAATCACTGTTAACGAAAAAAAATCTAGTTTTCGAATGGCCATTTTCGAAAACAGAAAGGGGAAGAGAGAGACGAAAAAAACCAGTGAAACAGATTCATAGAGGTGATATTTTCGGAAAGAGTTAAGTCCACAAAATACCTGAAGCAGGGGGATCTGTGGCATCTTTTTCTCTCCCCAGCAGAAGAAGCCTCCTCCATTTTTTCTTGGCAAGTCCTCTCCTCCTCAAGAGAGGACCCTTAATACTCGCTAGCGTAGGGTGGCCATTGAAGTTCCTCTCGGAGCATGATGGGAGTTTAAGTTTTTCTCCTTCTGTGTCTCTCAGCCAATATATAACCTGGTGGTGTCCATGCTCTGATTGGCTGAGAATGGACACCACTAATTCCCAGAACCCTCTCTTGTGGTTTATCTTATTTTTAAAAAATGTTATGTTTAAAACTTAAAATAATTCTTAAAAATGAGTAGATTGGTGAATTGCTTTGAAACTTGGCAGGCTTGTGATTGTAAATGGGGTCTACAACTGAGGTAGGTTTCATGCAGATAGGCCTTAAAATGGCTGAGGACTGAGCCTTTAAAGTTTCCCATTGTAGCCAATGAGCCAAATCTCCTCCGAATGGAATGGAAAACACCCCTCCCCTTTCGGGTAACTCTGGTAAACAAAATGAGGGATCAGACAGAAACAGACCTGAAAATGGTATGCCTTTTGTCCCAAATGCACATGACTAATGAGGATATAGTGATACAATTAGTGACCAGTGGTTTTTTCTGAATCTATAATGTTGAGTTTCCACTGTGTTCCATTTTACTTATGACTCCTTATGCAAAGTCATGTGTTGCTGGGCAGATAATAGCACACTATAGTCTCTTTGAGAAAACATGATTTCTTGATATACTCTTAATCTGTTATCTATTATATTCATCTCCAGAGTAAATTTGTAATCATCACCCTCTTCTGCATATACCAATGTTGTGTGGCATATGTTGCATGGGGTTTTGTTTTATACAACCTCACAAGGGTGTGTCTTGCAGCTTTTCTCTTTTCCTGCAAGCAACTGACTGAACTAAGAACCTTTTGGGCTAATATCAAATGTGATGTAGCTTTGATGTTCAGACAGTATATAAAGTTCATACACAAAGAAATATAATGCAAATAGGAAATGGGATTTATAAGTATTAATAATAATTAGGTTACCTGTGGCAGATTGGACTAGCTTTGGCAATTCTGGCCAATTCTGACCACCCTTTTAGGCAAACTGCACCCTTTAAAGAACCAATAGGTGTGGCCACGCTTCCCCTCTCCCCCCCAGATTATATAGAAATTGAAATATTAGGATATGGGGACGTGGACCCACATGTGCAAAGAGTATCAAGGTTGCCATTTCACTCAGTATTGATGCTGTCCAATTCCCAAGCAAACTGCTGTGTATGCTTTACTTGCTGTATAGATGTGCTCAACTGTCTCATCCTTTCCCTCTTAAATATTTCCTTTTTCCTTTGTGCTCCAATAGACATTTTGATTGGATAGATCTGAGATTTCTCAGTGACCGCTGTTTTAAGCAGTACTATTAGCATATTAAATGTATGTCATATTTAATCTGTTAAGCAATGAAAAGATTAGAAACCTTGAGTCAGATACCATTTCCGCACCTTCAGTACTTACCAGGTGTTCTGAAGCATATAGCTGGATGATATGCAAACAATTACACTTTTTCACTTAACAGGAGAAGAGCAACATGGAAATCGATATGACGTACAAGCTCAAAGTCATGCAGCAGAACTTGGAACAAGAAGAGGTTGAACACAAGGCAACTAAAGCCCGGCTAGCAGACAAAAACAAAATCTATAAATCCATTGAAGAAGCCAAATCTGAGGCCATGAAAGGTAGGCATTTGATGCCACATATCTATAGCACAAGGACAATAGGCTGATTGAATCAAAAGGGGACTTGATAAATCAGCATTTTTGTCAACTCCATTGATTTGGCAGGTATACTCTAATTGAGATGATCAACTGTATTGAGTTCTGTAAATTTATTTATACATTTCATTTGTATCTTTCTTTTTCTGTGAGTGTGTCAGAGCAGCACTTTAGCTTTACATTAATTATGTAAGACAGTTTAGTCTGCCCATCTAGTTTCCTACTTCAGTTGAGATCAATTTTTTGCATCTCAATCAGATTTTCTGGTCAAGATGGCTTATAGATTGCTAATAAGCTACTAATTAGCTAATATTGGAGCCCCCAGTGGCCTAATGGGTTAAACTCTTGTGTCTGCAGGACTGCTGACCAAAAGGTTGGTAGTTTGAATCTGGGAAGTGGGGTCAGCTCCTGTCTGTCAGTTACAGCTCCCCATGCGGGGACATGAGAGAAGCCTCCAACAGGATGGTAACACATCCAGGCATCCCCTGGGCAATGTCCTTGCAGACGGCCAATTCTCTCACACCAGGAGCAACTTGCAGTTTCTCAAGTTCCTCCTGGCACGAAAAAAGCTAATACGAATTGTATTAATTATTAATATAAATTATTTGTATTACGTTGGTATGAGCTAAATCTCTTTCACTTCAGAATATTTTAATCACCAGCATCTAGATATGGATTGAGGATATTAAAACAAAGATAAGAATTCCTTAGACAGAATTTGCCTCTGAATATTTCTGATATTTTGTCTCCCCAGTTTAAAAGAATGGATGACTGTATCTTGCTAGTTTCAAGAGAAGCCGAATGATGTATTATTATATTTTAAAACACTTGAGGGAAGGTGTTTGTGTTCTAGTTTGCATTCTTCACAGACCGTTAACTATATTGATATGTCTATCTGACCTTGTTCATGACCGTGTAAATGTTCCCGGATACATAGTTGAAGACACTGGCCACCTAAAAGTTTAGGGCACCCATGCATCAAACAAGCATCCTTACTTGACAAGAATGTGCAGCTAGCAAATCAAACCTCTCTTTGAGAGTACAAAGCTGACAGTGAGTTTGAAAGAGCTTTCCTTATATAATGTATCTTAAATAATCGTTCACTTCAAACTGACTAGGCAAATTTCAAAAGCATTTGACAAATTGGAACTTCAAAGCCTTTTCTACCCCATTGAAGAGGGTTCCAGTTATGCAGGTTCTTTATTAATAACTATTTTCAGGTTAAGCCATAAAATATGTTTTACTTCCCAGCTCTTCTTCGTGCCAAGATAGTATTTTTAAATATGATGAGTACTGATTTTTTTTATTTCACCCTCCCAGAAATGGAGAAGAAGCTTTCAGAGGAGAGAGTTTCCAAACAAAAAGTGGAGAACTGCTTGCTGGAAGTTGAAAAGCGATGTTCGATGTTAGACTGTGATCTGAAACAATCACAACAGAAAATAAATGAACTTCTTAAGCAGAAAGATAAACTAAATGAGGATGTAAGTATGAATAGGATCCTTTCAGTATTTTTAGAGCTTAGTCCTGGCTACATCTGTGTAGCATAATTTTTTTTTGTTAATCATTTTGATAAAATAAAATAAGTTTCTACTGAAGTTTTCTTTTTTCTTCCATATAATTTTATTGGAAGCTTTCTTTTCTTAAAAGAAGAAAAAGTCAAAGTAAAACGAATGAGATGCACAGGTTAATTATATCTAGAAACCTGCACATAATTATATATAGAAAACTGTTTTGTGCACGTACTTTGGGTCCTAGCCAATATTTCTGAATCTGCACTCTTATAATCTGTGTAAGTTGGGTTACCGTGAGTTTTCCGGGCTGTATGGCCATTTGCCAGAAGCATTCCCTCCTGACATCGGTGTAAGTTGTTTGGAATGTGAACTAGTAAATGCAAGACAAGGCAAAACAGTATTTGTTTGTCAGTATATTCCCACAGCCATAATGGAAATTATTTCGAAGACTGGCTGTATGTTTAAAAATAGCAGAATAAATATATACGTGAATATATAGCTCAAAAGCTGTACAAAATATTAGTGTCTGCCTGGAAAATTGCCCATCCTTGGAATGGCTAGAAGGAGCAATCCACTACACCCCTGTGCTCTAGAGCCGCTGGTGGCACAGTGGGTTAAACCCTTGTGCTGGCAGGACTGCTGACCCAAGAGCGGGGTGAACTCCTGTCTGTCAGCTCCAGCTTCTCATATGAGGACATGAGAGAAGCCTCCCTCATAATGGTAAAACATCTGGGCATCCCCTAGGCAACGTCCTTGCAGATGGCCAATTCTCTCAGTTTTTCAAGTTGCTCCTGGCATGGGAAAAAACAACCCTGTCCTGACATTAAAAAAAACAAAACAAAACAAAACCCAACCAGAATGGCAGGATCCGACGTTCTTTTTCAGTTGAGCCATCTGGTGCTCTGGCATCCACCAGTGAAACAAAAGAGGTTAAAGGAAATGAAGCATACTTAAAATAGCAAAACATTTACTATTTATCAAACCCACTTATTAATTAATTCATTGAAACATTTATATCTGAAAAATTATTTTTAAATATGCTCTTTATCTTTTGGGTAACAGAATATGTACAAATGATTCGTAAGGTAGTAACACAATACAGTAAGTACACTTCAAATACACATCTTAATAAAGAGATATAGCACTGAATGCCATACAACAGAACTATTTTTTTTAAAAAAAATTCATGTCGGAAGCATTGCATAAATAAAGCAGTGCTTTTGGGTTGGAGAGATTACAAGAAACGTTGCCCAGAGGATGCCCAACTGTATTTACTCCATCTTCGAGGAGGCTCTTTCTGTGTTCCCCAACAGAACAAATGTTTGTATATTTTGTCGAAGGCTTTCATGGCCGGAATCACTGTGTTGTTGTAGTTTTTTTCAGGCTATATGGCCATGCCTCTAGAACATGGCCATATAGCCCGAAAAAACCTACAACAACCCAATGTTTGTATAGTTTTAAGTTTAAATGGTATTGGTTTTACTGTAAGCTGCTTTGAGTCTCGTTTTTAGAGAGAAAAGGCAAAAATGCAAATAAAATAATAATAAACAAAGCTTGGCGGATATCAAAAGCTCACTGGACCAAAGTAAACAGTTTGTGGTGATTTAGATGTTTAAGTACAAGTAGCATTATCTCTCACTGCTATCTATGCTGGCTGCAGATTATTAGATCTGACCTTCTGGACATTTTCCTGCAAGTACATAGATTACTAGCCTACAAAGAAACATCCTTACATTACTAAAAGTTTTGTTAAACACTGGTGTTCCTTGTTCTGTGTCCTTCCTGCTCAGCCATGGAAACCCATTGGGTGACCTTGTCAAAGTCACATTCTCTCAGCCACAGAGGAAAGTAAAGGCAGATTGCCTCCGAACAAGTCTTGCCAAGACAATCTTGTGATAGGTTCACCTTAGGGTCGCCGATATGTCAGAAACAACCTGAAGGCACATAACAACAACTATGTACAAATGTAAACATTTTGTGTACTAAACAGATCGATTTATCTTCTAGGTTGAAAACTTGACATTGAAAATAGAACAGGAAACACAAAAACGTAGCCTCACACAAAACGACCTTAAGATGCAAACCCAGCATGTCAATTCATTGAAAATGACGGAGAAGCAGCTCAAACAGGAGAATAACCATCTTTTGGAAATCAAATTGAGTTTGGAAAAGCAAAATAATGAACTTCGCAAGTAAGTCAATTTATTATATTTTTTGTTTGATTACGTATAGTTTAGTGATGTTAGGTTCTAATGTTGTTTTCATATGTGGGGTTTTTCTGGGATTCTTATATCGGTACTTGTTTGTTCTATGGAGGAACTGAATGTTTGCCATTGAATGTTGGAATCCACCCTGAGCCCCCCTGGGGAGATAGGGCGGAATATATAAATTATTGTTATTATTATTATCATTAATATTATTAACAAGAGGGACATTGATAATTACATTTTTGTATTGCATTGGAGCAGCGGTTCTATACAGATGATGGATTCTATCTCCATCCAAATAATGGATTAGTAAAGTACTGGAGGCATAGTAAGGTAGTTGATTTTGTTGTATTTGGGTCATCCCTTGAACAATTTTTAAAGCCAGAATGTGCAGTGGAATCCAAAACTTTGCCATTTAAGTTCTTCCCAGATCCAATGAACTGCAGCATCTTAGTTGCTTTAAAATTCAGTTCAGTGCAGTATCTGTCAAATGTCAAATCTACTTTCAGAAACTGACAAGTGGCTGTGATTACATGTTAATAGAGCATTTTTCACAAAGGGGAGACTCTTTCTGTGACAAGAGTCTTAAGAGACATTACAGAATAAAAGAACCAGCGGAGGATTGGGGAATCTAATTTAGTAATCTAATTAATAACACTGTGTAACATGACTTTTTTTCCTGGATTATAAATGTCATTTCCTAATTGGTTCTATCATAAAAATCTGGAAAAAAGTTTATTACACTTCAAAAACTTAGTTTTTGTGGGACATTCTGCAGCACATTTTGCTGTAGTTTTTCAATGAGTATCTCATCTAGTCTCAACGAATTCAACGTAATTATCGAAATGCACAATATAAACACAACAAACAGTATGCATCTAGTCAGAATATAAATATAAATATACAGAAGGAAAAGGTAGAAGTGGCCAACTGGTAGCCAAATATACCTTTATTCTAAGTATGGGCATCCGGTGTCCTTGTCCCCCTTACACTGTATGGCAATCTGATCAATATACTCTAATCTCCTTTTAGATGCTTTATAAAGATAAAGAACAATTTTTGATGTTAAGACGGGGTTAGAACCAGCTTCTAAAAAATGTGGTTTTGGCCAGTGCATCCCATTTCATTTTATTACAAGTAAAAGGCCATAAGTGTTGTTTCCTATTTTTTTCGGACAGAAATTTTGTAATATGTGGTTCAAATTTTCAACTTCAGGAGCGCTGCAGATACAGAATCTTTCCTCAGGTGGGATCTGATTAAATCTACTGTGTCTCCCCATTGACTCCATTTGCTCAAATCTGGCCCTTGTAAAAGAGATTCTTAGCTGTCTTGGCATATCAACTTTTAAATAAAGTGGCTGATGAAAGTTGTGTTTAAAATGACCTAACCAAGGCGCCTGTGTATGATAGATTGGTTATGTCTTTCTGCTCTTTAATATCTAAAATCCTTTGAGTTACTAGCCTTTTTTCAATATCTTTGACTTTCAAAACAGGAACATATTTTTTCCCAAATTTTGTTGCATAGTGTAATTTATCTAATCTATAAAGTAGTGCTTGTCAAAGATTTGTACTTTAAAATATGTATATATCTTATTTTCCTAATAGAGAACGTCAGGATGCTGATGGCCAGATGAAAGAACTTCAAGACCAACTTGAGGCAGAACAGTATTTTTCAGTATGTATTGGATGACATCTTTTTTATGTCTCTTAAGCATAGGGCCCAACATGTTTTGTGACTGTATCATTGCAACAAATACCAATTTTCCTCATGATGAATTAGTAGCCTTACAGTTGTGTGTGTTGCTTTCCAGTAGAATGCCTTTGCCAGTTTATGTCATTCTAAATATTATTTGCAGTAAGAGCGTTGACACTGTGTAATTTCCCTGGTTCCCTAATTTTGAACCCCAAGAATTGGGAATGAATGATAATTTACTGCAAGTGACTATCCTGGCATTCATATATGAGAGATCTATTAACTATAATACATTTTGGTTAAATGGAAACTTCTGGTTGAGTACAATATTTCAGAACCCTGACTTTTATATCAAAAAATGTGTGTTCGATGTGAGCAGCTTTCACAAACTCTATGAAGTTTCCATATCTTGAAGAGAAAACACAACAGCCTTTCTACAACAAGTATATAAGATTTCCTTCATAAAAACATTTCAGACGCTGTATAAAACTCAAGTTCGGGAACTTAAAGAAGAATGTGAAGAAAAGACCAAACTTTGTAAGGAAATGCAACAGAAGATACAAGAGTTGCAAGATGAGAGGTGAAACTTTGCTGGTTGGCTGTTTATACATTTGGGGACCTTGCAGTTCCTTCAACTGTGCCACTCACTTCTCTTCTCTTTGTCTTGCAGGGATTCTTTGGCAGCCCAACTTGAAATCACCTTAACCAAAGCAGATTCGGAACAGCTTGCTCGTTCTATTGCTGAGGAGCAATATTCGGATTTGGAAAAAGAAAAGATCATGAAAGAGTTGGAGATTAAAGAAATGATGGCCAGGCACAAACAAGAGCTTTCTGAAAAAGATGCCACCATAGGATCAGTAAGTAATTCTCAGGAAACTGCTAGGGTGGTTTCTGTCAGCGGGCTTTCTTTATGAGAGTTACTCACAACATGGATGCCTTCAGTCGTTTATTCTAACTAATTTTATAGTAGCAACAAACATTCTGGTCTGATATATTTTGAAGGCTTTCATGGCCAGAATCAATGGGTTGCTGTGAGTTTTCTAGGTTGTCTGGCCATGTTCCAGAAGCATTCCCTCCTGACATTTCACCCACATCTATGGCAGGCATCCTCAAGAGGTTGTGAGATCTGTTGGAAACTAGGCAAGTCAGGTTTATATATCTGTGGACTGTCCAGTGTGGGAAAAAGAACTCTTGTCCGTTTGAGATAGGTGTGAATGTTGCAGTTGGCCTGCTTGTTTAGCATTGAATGTCCTTGCAGCTTCAAAGCCTAACTGGTTGTTGCCCGGGGATCCTTTGTTGGGAGGTGTTAGCTGACCTTGATTGTTTCATGTCTGGAATTCCCCTGTTTTCAGAGTGTTGTTCTTTATTTACTGCCCTGATTTTAGAGTTTTTTGTTAATACTGGTAGCCAGATTTTGTTCATTTTCATGGTTTCTTCCTTTCTGTGAAAATTGTCCACATGTGGATTTCAGTGGCTTCTCTGTGTAGCTTGATATGGTGGTTGTTGGAGTGATTCAGCATTTTTGTGTTCTGAAATAATATGCAGTGTCCAGGTTGGTTCATCAGGTGCTCTGCTATGGCTGACTTCCAGGTTGTGTTAGTCTGCAGTGCCTCTCATGTTCCTTCAATCATGTTTGGGCAATGCTGCGTTTGGTGGTCCCTATGTAGACTTGTCCACAGTTGCATAGTATACAGTATATGGTATATGGTAGACTCCTGTAGAGGTGAGGGGATCCCTCTTGTCCTTTGCTGAATGTAACATTTGTTGAATTTTCTTAGTGGATCTGTAGATAGTTTGTAAGTTGTGTTTCTTTATCAGCTTCTCTATGTGTTCAGTGGTTCCCTTGATGTATGGTAAGAACGCCTTTCCTCTGGGTCGATCTTTGTCTTTACTCTAGTTGGCTTGTTTTTGGTCTTGCTGCTCTTCTGATGCCTGTGGTCTGACCTTAATCTGTGATTTTCTATCTTGTCATTTAGTCATACACTTAAACCCCATTACTTAACTGTAGCTTTTTTTTCGGAAACATTCTCCTTCAGAAACATTTTAATTTTTTAAGATCCCTTTGTTCCACCTTTCTCACAATCCTGTCCTTACACTTCCCACACAGCCTTTTCCATGACTTCTTTTAGTCGCAGCGTTTCTCTGCTCGCTTTTTCCAGTGGCAGCATCAGCGTTAGCTCCCACTTGACAAGTCAGTTGACTAGTTTTTTAAGCCTATGACTAATACCTCTTTCTTTTAATTCCTGTGATCTAGTTGGAAGAAGCAAATAGGACATTAACGAGTGATGTGGCAAATCTGGCAAATGAAAAAGAAGAGCTCAATAATAAACTTAAAGAAGTCCAAGAAAGTGAGTGTTCCCTTTTAAAAAATGTCTTTCCTTTGATCAGTGATTGATTTTAAGATTCACTTAACTGGCACTATTTGTTTTTCCAGGAATTGTTCGTATTAATGAAGATGAAAATGATATAGATCTGCTTAAGACTCAGTATGAGAAACAGTTGGCTTATGAAAGAACTATGAAGACCCAGGTAAATTATATATGAGGACTGTGACAAAGACGTGGGAAATTGTTATCACTGCCGTATTGGATATTCCAGGCATGGTGGGTCAGAGTAGTCAGAGGACTATACTAGATAAGGCCAGCTTTACAACATGTTACAAGGCAGTTCATGACCAAGCATGATGAGAGACTGAAGAAACAGGAGTCGAGGAATTAAAGAAGGAGCTAAAACCAAGTTGAGATGTTGTTCCCAGCAATCTTTCTCATCCACAGCTGAGGTTTTTATACCTGTGCTCCCATTACATCAATTACAGGCATTTGAGTATGGTTTTTCCATCTGTCATAAAGATGGGAAGGCCTGAAAAATACTGGAAAAAATTGGGGAAAGAAATAAAAAAAACACCTTTTTGCAGGCCTTCCCATCTCTAATCTGTCACAGAACAGTTTGGTTTACATTCAGAGAAAATTCAGAGAAATTGGTGTTAATATAACAGAAGTCTTGTAAATGTCCACAGCTTTATTCTTCAATATAGAACCAATGGGCATGAATTGTGATCCACAAAGTTGTTGGGCGAGTGGGCTTATTAACAAAAGACCCTCATAAATATACAGCAGAGTAACTTATTAGCAGCAGCGTGACCTAGTACCAGTAGCCCAAAGTGATAAAAAAAACCAAAAAACACACAGACCAATGTTATCTCTTCCATTGGAGGCTTTTTTTGTAGTAAAATAATATGGTTGCACTATTTACAACAACAAGGTTTCCACAACACAAATAAACACATAGCAGCCTTCACACTGGAGCTTTCTCACATGAGGCTTCTCTCATACTGAGACCTACTAACACTAACAGGCTTTGGCCTACTCACTCTCCTCAGGGCGACATTAGCTTTGGTTCACTGACTCTAACAGGCTTTGGCATACTAACTCTTTCAGTGCTTAACTCACACTTTTGTAATCAAAAATACCCAGTTAATTTTTAATATTTCTGGCAAAAGTATACTAAGCATTGCAACTTTTTAAACAGCAATAAGGTATTAGCTTTGTTAGATAGGACACAGATTCCTATATAGGAAATGACCTCTTTTATCATTTGCAAGAAAGAAACAACAAAGGTATGCTAAAAATTACATCTCTCTCTATTACAACACAAATATGATCCTCGCCATAGCAAACTAATAGATTTTGGATATGTTGAGACTCTGACATAGGAAATTTCAAATTCTATGCCCATTATCTCACAAAATATTATAAAACTGTGTCTGAGTATGGAACCATGGCGGCTAGCCCTTTTATAAATTATAATAATAATTTGCTAATGTCCTTTCTGTGTTTTTTTTTCTTTCCTAACCTGTCAAAGCCTCATTGAATACATGAAATTCTGTTTTGTTTTCCTAATAAGAACGATGAGCAAACAAATCTACATTCACATTCATTTTTAAATCCTTCTTTGATACATTGGATAATGACTACATCCAAACTTAGCCCAAAATCTATTCAGTATTGATTAGGTAGAAAAACCTTGGAAGACAATGTATGAATGGAAGATTGAAATTATCGCTTCTGATTCTGTAATCCTAATGATGTTGCTTTTTCTGTTGTGCTCCTCTTCCCACCAACCAGGCTGTGAACAAGCTGGCTGAAGTCATGAATCGCAAGAACCCAATCCAACGAGGGGCTGACACTGATGTCAGAAGGAAAGAAAAAGAAAATCGTAAACTGCACATGGAACTCAAGTCTGAACGTGAAAAGTTAACTCAGATGATGATCAAATATCAGAGGGAGATCAATGAAATGCAAGCGGTAAGTACCTGATCAGTGAAATGCAAGTGGTAAGTACCTGAATATAAACATAAAGCTATCCTTACTGTGGTGCAAGGAGGTGGGCAAAGGCCCCCACGAAGTATTTTAAATACTCCCAAACTGTGTGGTCCTTTGAATATTTAAAACAAATTTGCATTACTTCAACCAGTGCAGTAGTTTCTCCTCAATTGGATGCCCTTGAGATGTTGGACCACAACTCTCATCCCTTTCTGTCAGTGTTTAGATGCTGTCCAAGCCATCTGGATGAACCAGATCGAGAGAGACGGCACTACAGTGTTTGCATTGCCATCTGTCTCCAATTCCCACTGTTCTCAATATTTAGAGTTGGGGCAGCCAAAGTGTGCTGAAATAGAAGCTGCTTTATAGGTCCTATATCCCCCTCTTCTTTTTTTCAAATATTTTTTATTACAGAATATTATCACATATATATTTTAAAAAGAGAAAAAGTAGTATAAGTTAGGAGGGGAGGGGAGGGGATGGGAAACAATGGAGAAAAGGGGGGGGAAAAGGAAAAAAACAGGAGGAAAAACTTGAAGGAAATAAGGGGTGAGGTGGGTGTAAAAAAAAGTTCACTTCAGTTCTTCCCCACAATCTGTTGTCATTGTCCTTTTCTCTCTTGTTCGTTATTCTTGCTGTTTCCTCTTCAGTTTTCACCTCTGGAGAGAATTTTTTAGTTTTACAGATCAGTCTTTTCTGTCCAATTTTTTTTTCTTGTTTCATATATTGTAATAATGGTGACCAATCTTTTGGTTTATTTTTCCACGGGATATTTTAACTTAATAATTGAGTTAATTTATCCATTTTCATTATGTCTTTTATTTTTAAAATCCATTTTTATACTGTTGGTATTTTTCCTGTTCTCCATTTTTGGGCATATATTATTCTGGCTGCTGTTACTAGGTATGTACTAGGTACTAGGTTTTTTTGGTTATTTATTTCAAAGAATTTTATTCCTAATAAAAAAAATTCTGGTTTAAACTTAATTCTAATATCTAATTTTTTTTTATTTTGTCTTGTATTTCTCTCCAATATAATAATAATAACAACAACAACTTTATTTTTGTATCATGCCACCATCTCCCTGAAAGGACTCAGGGCGGTTTACATGGGCATCAAGCCCAGACAAACAGAGATTAAAATATAACACAGTAAAATCACAGATACAAACATCATATAACATAAGCCATCAAGAACAACCAACAGCCGAGCATAGTGGCCATATACTAACTAAGGGGCAAGGCAGGGGCTTCTTGAATACAGCTACAAGGACAGTGCTGATAGAATAGTGCAGGAGCCAGATAAGTTTGGGCTAGAAGGGCCAAGTCAGTTAGTGCAATACAACTACAGGGGCAAGGGCAATGGTAAAGTGCAAGGGCCAGAAATTAAGTTATGGCTAGAGGGGCCAACATTCTCTAATGAACCAAATTAATCAAAAGCACATTGGAAAATCCACGTTTTTAGATCTTTGCAGAAAGTGGACAGGGTGAGTGCTAATCTAATCTCCTTGGGGAGAGAGTTCCAGAGCCGGGGGGCCACCACTGAGTAAGCCCTCTCCCACCTCTGTCATAAGCTGCAAATATGACAGAGGTGGGAGCAAGAGAAGGGCCTCTCCAGAAGATATTAGAGCTTGTGCAGGTTCATAAGGGAAGATGCAATCGCAAAGATAGACTGGGCCCAAACCATTTAGGACTTTGTAGGTAATAATATTGTTGAAGGCTTTCATGGCTGGAATCACTAGGTTCTTGTAGGTTTTTTCGGGCTATAGGGCCATGTTCTAGAGGCATGCCTCTAGAACATGGCCCTATAGCCCGAAAAAACCTACAAGAACCTAGGTAATAATATTGATTTATTTCTTGCACTTCTACCCCACCCTTCTCAACCCCCGAGGGAGGACTCACCTTGAATTGGGTCCGGAAACTTATTAGCAGCTAGTGGAGCTGTTTTAAAAGGGGTGTTGACTGCTCCCTGTAACTTGCTCCAGTTAGCAGCTTGGCTGCCGGTCTTTGTAGCAATGGCAATTTCCAGGTCGTTTTCAAAAGCAGCCCCACATAGAGCACATTGCAGTATTCCAATCTTTGCTCTTTCCCCCTCTTCTTTCTAGCAGTTGAAAACCATCCAAGAAAGTTCTGTAATCAAGGTTGTATAACATGGTGAATCTCTCTATTAGCAGGCAAGGCTAGAGTGTCCTTTTTATATCTCCTTTTCCAGCAAATAGCCGACGAGAGCCAGATAAGAATCGAACTGCAGATGGCCCTGGACAGTAAAGATAGTGACATAGAGCAGCTTCGCTCACAACTTCAAACAATACACATCGGTTTAGACAGCACTAGCATAGGTTGTGGCCCAGGGGAAGCAGAGGCTGACGATGGATTTCCGGGTAAGATTGATCCCTCGTTACGTTTTCCCTTTTTTTTTTTTTTGATGTAGTGGGCAGGGTACAGACATAAAAATGTTTAAATGGATTGCTCTCAAATCTTGTAAGTTGCAGAGAGATCTGTAGCCTCTGTCTTCTTGCCAGTATTTACACCTTGTGAGTAGCAAGTCATCTTCTAATATGTGAAAAGATAAGATTTTCTCTTTGAAATTTGTTTTATTTTCCTGTAACACTAAAGAAGCTGGCGTAGACATTTTCAGAGCTACTGTTCATTAATTCTTTTTCAATTCCCCCTCACGCTGGGTGCTCAGTCCGTATCACTCAGTCCCACACTTCGGAGTCTATGTCCTTTACCTACGAACGCTCTTCTACTTCTGTCAGTATTGCCACTAAGCCTTCTAGTTCTCGAGTGTTTCTCAGCTCTGATTCTGACTCAGAGGAAGAACCGTTGCCTCCTGCACAAGTCCCTTCAGAGCCTGACAATCCAGGTGACATTCCTGAAAACAATGTAGTGCTGAAATGCTATTGCTTGAAGGCCATTCCTCTAATTCTGCCTTACTAACATGGAAAGCAGTTGAAAAGCAGAAGTGTGTTGCATGAGGAAAGGATAGCCCCTTGTCTCCAATAGCCACTGACTATAATCTCAGTTTTGGACATTGTGAGTGCCGTTAAGGGAATTGCATGCCACACACTCATTCCCTCATCAGCCATTCATTTACCCATCCAGAGCTATTGATAACAAACTTATGGCTCCAAACCTTATTTGACTTAATCTTCTGAGTATCCAGTGACAGAAAACTTTGATTGGGGGGAGGGGGGGGGGTTGAGCAGTTCGCCCTTCAATCCCAACATTTGTTTATCAAATTGTGTATTAGCAGAGTTAGCAAATTTAAAAAGCCTACAGTGAGCTTTTAAAATTTGCTAACTCTGCTAATACACAATTTGATGGGCAAAATGGTTTAAAGGTAGTCAGAAAGACACACAACAATTCCATATACTTTAGCTATACTGAGCATGACTTGGGACTCTTCAGTAGGAATTGCTGCTGATAGGTGAGTATTCTGGAATAAACATGTATGCTCCCAGATTTCGCACTGTGTCAAGCAGAGAGATTGGATGTTGTACATTCAAAATGACTACAGACATTAAATTTAAAGGAACAGACTGCCCCCCCCCCCCACTTTAAAACTTTCATTCCTGATCTTCCAATTGTTACAAGTGTGTAGATATGTAAACTGGGTTGCTATGAGTTTTCTGGGCTGTATGACCTTGTTCCAGAAGCATTCTCATCTATGGCAGGCATCCTCAGAGGTTGAGGGGTCTGTTGGAAACTAGGAAAAAGGGGTTTGTTTATCTGTTGAATGTCCAGGGTGCGAGAAAGAACTCTTGTCTGCTTGAGGCAAGTTTGAATGTTGCAACTGACCACCTAGATTAGCATTGAATGGCCTTGCAGATTCAAAGTGTGGCTGGTAGCCGCCTGGGGGAATTCTTTGTTGGATTCCCCTAGAAAGGAGGAAACCATGATCATGAACAAAATCTGGCTGCCAGTATTTTAAAAAAACTCTAAAATCAGGAGAGTAAATAAAGAGCAAGTGGGGGGATTCCAGACAAAAATCAATCAGGCCAGAGAACACCTCCCAACAAAGGATTCCCCCAGGCAGGAATCAGCCAGGCCTTGAAGCTGCAAGGTTTTGCAGTGCAAATCAAGGTGGCCAATTGCAACATTCACACTTGTTTCCAACAGACAAGAGTTTTTTCTCCCACCCTGAAACTTCCACAGATATATAAACCTCACTTGGCTAATTTCTAACAGACCTCACAATTTCGGAGTATGCTTGCCATAGATGTGGGCGAAACATCAGGAGAGAATGCTTCTGGAACATGGCCATATAGCCTGGAAAACTAACAGAAACCCAGTGATTCCAGCCATAAAAATCTTCGACAGCACATTGATATGTAAACTCTTTACACGTTTGCATTGGCAGCTCTCCTCACCAGACACTTAATTGGGTATTCCCTATTGCCTTGACACTGTTTCCCTTACTTTCATTCTTTTTAAATTCTGTAGTTTATTTAAAGGGAGCATGCCCTATTTAGCTGCCAATAGCAGGTTGTTGAACTAAAGCAGAAAATGGATCAACATGAGATTGATCCATTGAGAAGGCTTAAAACTTTGACGTTACCTAGTGATGGCTTTCCATTCATGTCACAGTCATTCAACATGGAAAGCATTGGAAAGGTCTGTAAAGTATAGACTGTGAAGGCCGTATTTTAGATAAGATGTGGCAGTTGTGGCTGTCTAGATGTTGGACCCTGAGTGCATCTTCTGTAGAATCGATGCAGTTTGACACCACGTTAACTGCCATGGTTCAATGCTATGAAATCCTGGGATTTGGAGTTTTACAAGGCCTTCTGTGACAACGTACACTGATACTACATCAAACTGCAACTCCCATGAATCCACAGCATTGAGCCATGGCAGTTAATTCTATATTGTGGCTTCACCTGCCAATGTCCAAAGTTCCAGATATGGCCAATAATCACGAATAATAGCAGCAATATCTGAAATATCTGGTTTCCCAACCCTGTTTAAAACAGACCTTTTGCTTCTGTAGGATGAGAGGGGAATGCCTAACTAAATTAAGCTAAATAGAAATCATGTTTTTGAAGCCAGAATAGAGTTTTTGGCTACTGTAGAATATTTAAATAACCAATGCTTTTGATGAAAAGCTTGGGCTGAAATTGTTTTGCTGCAAAATAAAGGACCCGGCATGGATTTTTTCAAAAGGAGATTCTCTGTCAGCCTTGCCATGCATGCTTCTGTTCCTGTCACAGTCTCATTCCTTAATTAATGAACTATAACCAGATGGTTTGCACAGTGTGACATAAATGTCCTCCTCCTAAAATTTGAAAGATTATGCTCTTTTAAAAATTATTTATATGCATGCACCCCCCCCCCGGTAGTGCGGTGGGTTAAACCACTGACCTGCTGAATTTGCTGACCAAAGGGTTGGTGATTCGAATCCTTGGGGTGAGCTTCCGCTGTTAGCCCCAGCTTCTGCCATCTTAGTAGTTCGAAAACATGCAAATATGAGTAGATCAATAGGTACCACTCTGGCAGGAAGTTAACAGCACTCCATGCAGTCATGCTGGCCACATATGACCTTGGAGGCGTCTAAAGTGGCTCTTCGTCTTAGAAATGGAGATGAGCACCATCCCCCAGAGTTGGACACAACTAGACTTAATGTCAGAGGAAACATTTACATTTACCTATGATATTGAAAGCATATTGTGTTTCTATAATTCCTGCATTACTTGAACATGCTTCCTGAGAATGTTCAAAATGTCACTGAACCCCTAGATTGGTGTTGTCAGATAGCTTCCTTTAGGTGGCACAATGAGGTATCAATTGGTGTCCAAATGGAGCAGTTTTGTCACTGGAGAGACACATCTGGAATCCAGAACAGGGTTGTCAGACTGCATCTGGGATGAGGCAGTGCAGAAGAGTAATGGCAGGACTGTACATTGTCAAACCCGCACAGTTGGAAAAGGGGAAACCTTTACCTTTAACTTATATGCATTCAGTGCTGGTAGGAGAATCAAAATTTGAGAAACTTTATGAATTGTTGAGTAACACATACATATTTGTTCTGAGTTTCACACAGTATTAGTAATGTTGTCTTAGAATACATGTGTGACTTTGGTTGCAAAACTGCTAGCAAGAAAATAGTTAGAAATATATTGAAGCGAAAACAAACTTACTGAAAAATTGTGTTCTTTTCCAACACGATGGTCCATAGCAAGGCATGGGCAGCAGGCCAAGATGTGGCCCTGAGTTGCAGCATTTCTGGCCATAGTCTCCACACTCCTGTTCAAAAATGTTTTAGTACTAAAAGCAAAGAACATGTGTGTTTTGTAGAAAAATCACAAGAAATCCTTAGAAGCGGTTTCATTGAAGAAGTGCAATAAGAAAGCTGTTATTATAACTCTAATGAATAAACTTGCAGAAACTTCTGCTAAAAACCAAGAAACTCAATCATGGCTCTATAACTAAAGGTTTTTCCAGTGTGGTCAAATTATAACAGTGATAACAAGTTATCCAAAGTGTCTTTTAGATTGCATTACTGTGGATGCTCAGCAATGACATCACATCATGTGTGGGTGGTTAATAATCTAAAAGTTTTGACCTCCTGGTCGGATTAAACCACTGAGTTACTGAACTTGCTGACTGAAAGGTTGGCGGTTGAATCTGGGAAGTGGGGTTAGCTCCATTGTTAGCCTCAGCTTCTGCCAACCTAGCAGTTCAAAAACATGCAAATGTGAATAGATCAATAGGGAAGATAACGGTGCTTCATGCAGTCATGCTGGCCACATGACCTAGGAGGGGTCTATGTGTAACGCCAGGTCTTCAGCTTAGAAATGGAGATGAGCACCACCCCCAGAATCAGACACGACTAAAATTAAGGGAAAACCTTTACCTTTACCTTATGGCATCAAGAGATTTTAATGTGTGTGTTCTGATGTTTTTGAAAAATAAAATGGAATGGATTACAGCAGTAATAATTGCTTCTTGTGTGTCTGCTATGAGACATGAAATCTCTACTAATAGGAATGCATAATGGCAATTTTATAACTAGAATGTTGTTGTTTTTGCCTTTGTGTACCAGCTGTTTCAGATGCCATAAAAAACTTATAGAAGAGTTTCAAATGAAAAACATCCCTTTAAAAAAAAAATTCCCAGCTTGGCATGACTTCATAAAATTAAAACACCTAAATATAGCATTGCTTTAAATGATTTTCCCATTTATTAATTTTCAGAGTCAAGATTGGAGGGTTGGCTATCGTTGCCTGCCAGAAACAACACAAAGAAATTTGGTTGGGTCAGAAAGGTAAGAAAATTTATTTTTTAAAGGTGTTTTTCTGATGCATAGAATTTTGTGTAACTTTATGCTGAACCAAACACAGATTTTCATTTGTGCTTTTGACTTGTAGCTGCTTTTCTGAACTGAGGTTGGCTATATACTGCATTTAAAACATACAAGATCTTGAGTATTTTGATATTCAGAAGACTTGAGAAGCGTCTTCTGCCAGTAATGGATGGGAGGTTTCTTGTTGCCTTTTCCCAGTTGGTTGTCTGTATCCCTGTTCTTAATGATTAGTTTTATCCTAGGAGACAGGAGTGGGAAGAGCAGGGGAAATCAGTAACTATAAGCAGAGCAGTAGTAAGAAATAGTTTAAATAGTCCCCAAATGTGTGCAAAGATACATCTTCACACTGTAAACATATTGCCGTGGAAGAGAGAGAGGTTGTTAAAGTCAAAATGAACATTTGTGATTTGTTTCTTTTTCCTAACAGTATGTGGTTGTTAGCAGCAAGAAGGTCCTGTTCTACCATAGTGAGCAAGATAAAGAACAATCAAACCCTTACATGGTCTTAGACATTGAGTATGTATTGCCTATAAGACTTTATTTCTTTAAGTGATTTGTTTTTTATCAATACGATATATTAGAGTTGCTTTTTTGTGTGCCTTCAAATTATTTCTGATGTAAGGAGACCAAATTACAAGGGTTTCTTGGTATGTTTTTTTCTGAGAAGGGTTGCCTTTGCCTTTCTCTGAAGCTGAGGCAGTGTGGCTTGACCAAGATCACCTAGTAGGTTTCAATAGCTGAATGAGGATATTAGAGGAATTAATTTTGAATTAAAAGTCTCAGGAAACCTCTGGAGGAAAAAAAAAACACATTGTGGAAGTTAACAAAAATGAATGTATTATATATTAATGCTGTATAGCTTGTTCACCCACAATGGTCTCACCTTACAAAGAAAGCATGATCGCATACTCCAATTCCTCCCTTTTTCCCCTGTGTGTTTTCCAACTTTTTGGTTTTAGCTAGGATTGAGTTTTATGTTTGTAACAGCCCCCTGGTGACACAGAGGGTTAAACCGCTGAGCTGTTGAACTTGCTAACCGAAAAGTTAGTGGTTTGAATCTGGGGAGTGGGGTGAGCTCCCGCTGTTAGCCCCAGCTTCTGCCAACCTAGCAATTCGAAAACATGCAAATGTGGGTAGATCAATAGGTAACAGCACTCTGCAGTCGTGCTGGCCACATGACCTTGGAGGTGTCTACAGACAATGGTGACTCTTCGGCTTTGAAATGGAGATGAACACCACCCCCCAGAGTTGGACATGACTAGACTTAAACCTTTACTTTACTATTAGCCTTCATTATAAAGAAAATCTACAAAGTTAGTTGTTACTAGGATTTTGGAAAAGTTGGAGAGTGCGACCACGGTGAAAAAAATCGTATTTTGTATATATACCAACTGTCTTGTATTTCACACTGGGCTATCAAATTATGCATAGTTTTAATTCTTATTTAGGAACAACTTGGTTAAAAAATGTCCCTAGTAGTCAGTGTTTCTGAGCACATATCTTCCATTCTATAAGCACTTCTTGTAAATAACACAGGTCAGACATAATGGGCTTCAGCTCAGTTGTTAGTGCCCGCTAAAGTAGACATATGAAATCTTTGGAAATTACATGAAAGTTGACTTTATAAGTTTTCATTGATTCAGTGCATCCGCTCTAGCTGTAACTGCCATTTGGATTTAGCTGGTAGTTGTCAGGATTGTTGCACCTGTTAGAAATCTATGAGTGAGTTACTGCATCTTTGAGCCATGTTCATTGGAAAAGAAGGTGGTAGTTGAAAAAGAAATCCTTTACTTGAGCCACCTTTATTTCCTTCTAGTGATAAGGGACCCAAGGAAGGAAAGATATTTTGGCTTTCGACTCCCAGAAATCCCAACAGCTGGTAAACTGTCAGGGATTTCTTGGAGTTGTAGGCCAAAACACCTGGGGACCCACAAGTTGAGAACCACTGCTCTAGATGCTTTTAATTGCATCATCCAGTAAGCATAGCCAAGGCCTAAGCATTGTCTGAGTTGTTGCCTAAAGCTTCAGGATGAGGCTGTTGTACATTTTAATTTTGATTCTTAACTCTTTGTTGGGTTTAATCATGAGGACAATGGCATACCTATTATAGCCATTTTTGTTATTACTTCAGACTGTTTGTCTGAAGAATACATAGAAAAAGGGTAATGGAGGTAATATTTGCCAGTTTCAAAAACATACTAAGTATAGAATCTACTCCAGTACAATTTTCAATTTATATTGTTTTATAGGATCAAAGTTCATTTACAGAAGTAAATGAGAAAGTTTCCATAAGGACGATTAGTTTTGAATTATGTACTTTAATATTCATATCATACATTTTTAAATTATTTATCTGCATTCTTGCTGTTGCAGCAAATTATTCCATGTCCGGCCTGTTACGCAAACAGATGTATACAGAGCAGATTCCAAGGATATTCCCAGGATTTTCCAGGTAATGTTAGCGAGAAGATTAAGATGGGGTGAAAGAAAATGTACTGCAACTCATCAGAATATTCTAATCTAATTTTATTTAAATTGGTGTTTTTACACTAAGTGGCAAATTTAGTGTAATTTAGCCCTCTTGAGGTCCCATGCAGGCCCTGTAGTGTTTCTCAGATAGTCATGTTTCACACCCTGTGGTAGGAACTAGTGTGATTTTGATGGGAAAAAAGAATACTATATTTAATCGTTGCTACTTCAAACTAAATTTACTTTACTGTTTGGACAACATAACAATGTCTGAATTCTACTTCAGTAAAATTGTGACATTTGGGATATTTATGACCAAAGCTATTGCTGCAGAAATAATATTGCACAAGTAGACTTTTGCTCATGATGCAGAAGCACAGTAAGACCCATGTATCTGCAAGGGATACGTTCCCGGCCAGACCACAGTTACCTGAAATTGCAGATAAGACCAAATGTAATTAAATTACACTATGTAACACAATTTTTGCATTTTCTAATTGGTTCTATCATAAAAACATGGAGAAAGTTTATTAAATTGCAAAAACTTTTTGCGGAAGGGACATCCTGCAAGACATTTTAGTATAGCTTTTCAGTGAATATCTCATAGAGTCTTAACCAATTCAACATAGTTTGTGGCACAAAGACAAAGTTTCTGGAGTACAACAACTACTTCCAAAGTATGGACTGAACCATTAAGGGAAGGTTGCTTACCTGTAACCGTGATTTCCTGAGTAGTTACCTGTGAATTTGCACATTGTGGTATTCCTGCGCCCACGCAGGCCAGCATCGGAACCTTCTAGAAAATTTCAAAAGAATTGTATCCCCCTCAGGGCTCCACCTCCCCTCCCCGAGTATATAAAGCCCCACTGTGGAGCCCGCCCTCAATCCTCTTTCGCCGCTAAAGCAGCTAGAAGAAGTGGCATGATACTCGAGGGGAGGAAGGGTGGGTATGTGCGAATTCACAGGTAACTACTCAGGAAACCACGGTTACAGGTAAGCAACCTTCCATTTCCTGTCGTAGTTAACTGTAAATCGCACATTGTGGTAGACTAGCGAGCTATGTAACGGACGGTGGGATCATGCCACTGCCGAAAACAGCACCGCTCTACCAAAACTTGCCTCTCCTCTCGACACACAGTCCAGCTTGTAGTGTGAAACAAAGGTGGAGGGAGAAGCCCATATAGCAGCCTTACAAACCATCTCCAAGGGGATACCTTTCATGAAAGCCGTAGAGGCTGCTACAGCCCTTGTCGAGTGGCCTTTCACCTGACAGGGCAAAGCTTTACCCGACAACCTGTAAGAGGTACGAATAGCCGATACAATCCACGCAGATAATCTTTGTGAAGAGACTGGGAAACCCCTAGTATCCTTTCGATATTTAACAAACAGCCTAGGGGACTGCCTGAAATCGGCAGTTCTCTGTACGTAGAAAGCCAGTGCTCTTCTCACATCCAGGGAATGCAGACCCTTCTTCATGGGGGTCTCTGGGTTCTGAAAGAAAGCCGGCAGAATCACTTCTTGGGACATGTGGAATTTCGTGGCTACCTTGGGCAGAAAGGCTATATCCGTGCGTAGAACCACCTTATCTTTGTGAAACTTAAGGTAAGGAGGATTTACCCTGAACGCACAAAGCTCACTGGCTCGTCTAGCAGATGTGACAGCTACCAGAAATACAACCTTCCAGGTGAGTGGGCCCAACTCTGCCGTAGCCATGGGCTCAAAGGGAGGTTTCATTAGGGCCGAGAGAACCAACTCCAGACTCCAGGAAGGAGCAATCGGAGCCACCAGAGGCCTAACGTTTCCTAAGCCCCTTAAAAACCATTTCACCAGCGGATCCGCAAAGCAGGATGGTAAGCCCCCTTTCCTCCTGAACCAGGAAATGGCCGCGAGGTAACACTTAAGGGAAGAGTTGGAGAGACCTGCATCATAAAGTGATGACAGAAACTCTAACACTATAGAAATAGGGGCGGTTTCAGGTTCGTGACCCTTTGTTCTGGAAAATTCTTTAAAACGAGCCCACTTGAACAAATATGATCTTTTAGTGGCGGGCCTATGGGCCGCTTCGATAATACACCTTACGCTTTGAGGGAGACCCGCGGTCATATCTGTCCCTGGGGAAGAATTAGCCAAGCCGTTAGCTTCAGAAGATGAACGTCCAGGTACAATACCTGGCCCTGTTGGGACGTTAGAAGGTCGACCCTCTTCCCTAGCCTCAAGTGGTTCCCTCTCGACAGCTGTAGGAGAGGGGCGAACCACTGTTGACGAGGCCACCACGGGGTGACCAGTATGCACCAAGCGTTGTCTCTTTGTAGTTTCGCCACCACCCTTAGCAGCAGAGGGAAGGGAGGGAATGCATACGCCAGGGCTCCCCCCCCATTCTCTGAGGAATGCGTCCCCCAGACAACCCTGTTCTCTGGGAATCGGGAGTCTCGAGCAAAACGTCTCGCACTTCCTGTTCTCTCTGGTGGCGAAGAGGTCTATCAATGGGTGTCCCCACAGTTGGAAGAGTTTGGTGACTTCCAGAGGGTGGAGAGACCATTCGTGATGCCCCAGCGGGTTCCTGCTGAGTGCGTCCGCCAGCACGTTCTCTTGACCTGGGAGGTGGGTGGCGTGTAGGTATACCTGTCTCTGGATGCACCATTCCCAAACGCGCAACATCAGTTGCAGTAATAGGGGAGAGTGAGTGCCCCCTTGCTTGTTTAGATAGAACATGACGGTTGTGTTGTCTGTTAAAATCTGAACGGTTTGTCCTAAGATGAGCTTCTCGAACGACTTTAGCGCTCTTTCTACGGCCATGAGCTCGAGAACGTTTATGTGAAGGAGCGCCTCTTCTGGGGACCATTTGCCGTGCGCAACCAAGCCCTGCACATGGGTGCCCCATCCCGTCAGAGAAGAGTCCGTCGTAATTATACTGGTGGGGTAAGGCATTTGGAACGGGAGACCCGAGCAGACAAACTGGGGATGCAACCACCATGCTAGGGACCTGCGGACCTCCTCCGGCAGCGTAAACTTGAGCGGCGGGCAGTCCGTGAGGGGATTGAAAACAAGCCCGAACCAGGATTGGAGGGGGCGCATACGCAATCGCGCAAAAGGGGTTACTGAAGTGGTGGAGGCCATATATCCCAATAGTGTCTGGACCTGTTTGGCTGACACCCTGGGCGAGCCCAGGGCTAACGTCACCTGTGTCTGCAAAGTAGAAAAACGGTCCGCTGGGAGGTAGGCCCTGCGTGACACTGCATCGAGGACCGCTCCGATGAACAGGATGTTCCGGGCTGGAACCAGCGAAGATTTCTCCGCGTTGACGATGAGGCCCAGGGACTGGAGGAGACACAAAGTAATATGTACATGCTTTTGTAACTGAGAGACTGATTTCCCAATAATAAGGCAATCATCAATGTATGGATAAACGACTATTCCCTGAGTCCGTAAGTGGGCTACCACTACAGCCATGCACTTTGTGAATACTCTTGGGGCAGTACTGAGTCCAAAAGGGAGGACATTGTACTGGAAGGCTCTGCTGCCCACCAAAAATGCCAAAAATCTACGGTGTTGAGGCGCTATAGATATATGGAAATAAGCATCCCGTAAGTCTATGGTAGCAAACCATGCACCCTCTGGTATGAGGGGCATGATTGAAGAAAGTGTCACCATACGAAATTTCTTCGGTGAAATTGTTTTATTCAGATCTCTTAAATCCATAATAGCTCTAAATCCGCCACCACGCTTTGAAATGACAAAGTATCTTGAGAAAAAACAGAAGGGGAGCATAGAAACTGGAACTGGGGAAATAGCACCTTTCTGTAAGAGGGTGTTTATTTCACAGAGTAAGACTTCCGAAGGAGCAGTGCTCTTAACATTTCCCACTTGAGGGATGTTCTCAAATTCGATGGAATATCCCCTTTGGATGATTGCTAGCACCCATTTGTCAGTAGTGATGCTAGCCCAACTGCTGTAAAAACCTTGTAACCTGTCAACAAAACTATGCTGTGTGGTGGGAGGAGAACATTCAGGTAAGCCAACAGGGCTGAAGGAGAAATGCAGTCTAGAAGAGGGGCCCGGAGAACAGGGCGTCTCGTTCTGGTCTGCCAAGGGTGTTGGAATGGAAGCGTCAAAGGCGCTTCCTGGAGGCACCCTGACCTTTGGACCTAGGCTGGTAAGGCTGGTACCTTGCCTTTGATGAATAGGAGTTCCTCTTGTTGCTTTGGAACCTAGGGGATGAAGGGCCCCTTCCTCTACCTGAACCCGAGAATGAGTTGCTAAAGTTTTTTCGATACTGGTTGGGGGGCGGTTGCCATCTAGTACGGCTCTGGTTGTACGGTTGCCAAGTGTAACCGAACTTACCAGCGGCTTGCCGGACTTCCTGCTTCTCTTTTAGGGTTGCGCCAGTCTCCGGGTTGAAGAGGCCTTCCTCATGGAGAGGAAGGTCCTCAGCCAAGGCCTTGCCCTCCTCGGACAAATTGGCCGAGCGTAGCCACGCGTGTCTACGGATAGAAGTCGCCGTAGCGAAAAGGTGACCCGCAGACTCCGCCAGGTGTTTTGCGAAGTCCTTTTGGACCTTCGACAATATTAGGGCCTCCGCCTGTAACGCCTTAGGGAAGCGTTGATCTTCGGGCGGGAGTTTATCCAGATAGGGCAGTATTTTTGTCCACAGGAACGTTTGATACCCGCTCATATAAGTGGCATAATGTGCCATCCTCGTGACCAATCCTGCCGCTAAATGAGCTTTCTTCCCTAAAAGGTCCACCTTTTTGCCTTCCTTGTCCGGGGGGGCGGACAAGGTGCTTTTTGGCTTTTTTGACTTTACCACTTCGGCGACCACCGTATTGGGCTTAGGTGGGTTGGCGACCCACTTTGCAGCCCTAAGATCGATCCTGTATAAGGAGTCGACTTTCCTAGGTGTCGCTGGTATGCTCGCGGGGGAGGCATCCAGAATTTTAGCTAATTTTAGGAGGTAAGGGAGCATTGGTAGTGATGTGGAGACAGGAACTGGCTTTAGACCGGGGCATGGTACCGAGACAGCCTTGGTCGCCTTAGTGGATGATCTGCGTCGGGAGCTCGACAGGGGGAGTGTGTCCCTGTTGGTGCTGCTGGACCTCTCAGCGGCCTTCGATACCGTCGACCATGGTATCCTTCTGGGACGCCTCGCGGGGATGGGTCTTGGAGGTACTGTTCTGCAGTGGCTCCGCTCATTCCTCGAGGGTCGGTCTCAGAAGGTGTTACTGGGAGACTCCTGTTCAACCACAACCATTGTCTTGTGGAGTCCCGCAGAGTTCAATACTGTCTTCCATGCTGTTTAACATCTACATGAAGTCATAGGGAGAGATCATCCGGAATTTCGGAGTGCTGTGTCACCTGTACACAGATGACGTCCAACTCTGTCACTCCTTCCCACCTGCACTAAGGAGGCTGTCGAGGTCCTGAACCGGTGCTTGGCCGCTGTGACGGTCTGGATGGGGGCGAACAAATTGAAATTGAATCCAGACAAGACAGAGGTACTCCTGGTTAGTCGCAAGGCTGAACAGGGTATAGGGTTACAGCCTGTGTTAGACGGGGTCGCACTCCCCCTGAAGACGCAGGTTCGCAGTTTGGGTGTGATCCTGGACTCATCGCTGAGCCTGGAACCCCAGGTTTCGGCGGTGACCAGGGGAGCATTCGCACAGTTAAAACTTGTGCGCCAACTGCGACCGTACCTTGGGAAGTCTGACTTGGCCACGGTAGTCCACGCTCTGGTTACATCCCGTCTTGACTACTGCAACGCTCTCTACGTGGGGTTGCCTTTGAAGACGGCTCGGAAGCTCCAATTAGTCCAACGGGCGGCAGCCATGATACTAACCGGAGCGGGGCGCAGGGAGCATACAACTCCTCTGCTGTACCAGCTCCACTGGCTGCCAATTTGCTACCGGGCCCAATTCAAAGTGCTGGCGCTGGCCTTTAAAGCCCTAAACGGTTCTGGCCCAACCTATCTATCCGAACGTATCTCGGCCTATCAGCCCACCAGGACCCTAAGATCTTCTGGGGAGGCCCTGCTCTCTATCCCGCCTGCTTCACAGGTGCGGCTGGCGGGGACGAGAGACAGGGCCTTTTCTGTGGTGGCCCCTCGGCTTTGGAATGCCCTCCCCATAGAGGTGAGATCAGCCCCTTCGCTGATGGTATTTCGAAAAAGGTTGAAGACATGGATGTTTAAACAAGCATTCGATTAATCTGGTGCAACGAAACTGATGAACAAGGATTGGTTAATCACAGACGACGAAATTGGATTGCGACTACAATTAAGAGATGCATTGGATTATTATTGGTGGCCCAATAATATTGTGTATTGTGTATGTGTTTTTATGCTTTTTAATGGAATATTGCTGCTTGTCGTGTTGTAAACCGCGTTGAGTCGCCGATTTAGGCTGAGAAACGGCGGTATATAAGCACAGTAATAAATAAACTGCTTGTTCTTCCGAAGGAAACATCGGATCCTCCACATGTTCCTGTGCTTTTGGGGCCGGGATGTCCAGGGCCTTGATCATTCTATCTATTAAAGAGGTAAATTTATTGAAGTCTGGTGGAACTGGTGAGGGATCTGACACTTCTCTAGGCTGAACGGGATCAGACGGCTCCGCCGAGGAATCAGAGTCCTCTGGGTCTACGGCTGTCTGATCATCAGTTGGAAGAGCCAACTCCTGGGTCACCTGGGGGGTGCCTGGTGGAGCAGGAGGGCTAGAGATCACAGTATTAGCAACGTCACAACTTGGACGGTCTGCACAGGCTGAGCGTTCAGCACATACATTGTGGTTAATTGAGCGTTCAACACATACATTTTGGACAACTGAGCGTTCGACACAAGCAGTTTGGTCAACACAAGAAACATTTTGCTCAACATTAGTAATTGGTGTAGAGTTCAATTGTCCCTGTCCTGCCGTTAGAGGCACAGTCATTGATGTTGAGGCAGACGGGGTTGGAGGGAAGATTGTGGTTGCATTTCCACACCCTCTCTGCTGTATGCCATGGATTGCGCCCATACTTGCGAAGGGGGCAAAAGGAGGAGCCGTGTGTTGGGCATACATGAAGTGCCCTGCAGGTCCCAAGTTCCACGGGCTCGCAAAGGGGTAAGGCCCCGGTCCATAAGGTCCCCACTGGGGGGCTGCTGGTTGTGGCCTTTCGGCCTGTCGCGCCCTCCTGGAGCTCCTGGCTGTGGAGGCGGACCGGGCAGACTTTGCGGATGAGGAAGAGGAGGAGGAGGAGGAGGATGAGTCACTCGAAGAAGAGGAGGAGGAGGAGGGCGAAGCAGCCCGAGACCTCCCTCTCGACGATCCTCGGCGCCGGGAACCACCGCGCTTCCTGCAGCGGCGGGAGGGCGATCGGGGCCTCCTCCTCTTGCTGCCGCCTCTTTTCTCCCTGCTCTTCCTCGGTACCGGGACTGCAGGGACTGCAAATTCAGGGACCGTCGGAGGCGGCATGGATCCTCCCAGTTGGGTCATCGCTGCTTCCTCCGCCTCCCTGAGGGGAGGGGCGATATGCTCCCAGCCGGAAGCCATGCCCCCTGGGGAGGGAGGCAGCTCGAGGTCGAGCAGATGGAGCTCAGCCGAGCTCGGGAGGTCGATGTCGACCGTGGAGAGGGTCGACTCTGGGGGCCTTTCGGCCGCTTCTGTCTCCCTCATCACTGGAACCAAGGTAGGTGGAGACTGAGTCGGGGCCGGGGAGCGGCTCGGTGTCGGCGAGGGCAGGGCTTGCCCGGGC